TTTGAAATTTTTACTTTGTGACCTATGAAATAGTTGGGATCCTGGATAACTTTCTCCTATCCCGCAACAGATCAGTAGATGTGCACTGTTGAATAATCAGGTTGGATGGGTGATTCCTCTGATTTTTGTGATTGGTTATAATCTTCAGCTTCTGGATAGCTTTTGAACTGACTTTCTTACTGATAGCATCATGTGGTGTCTGCCTTCACTGCCCTGAAGTGGTAGTCTGGCAAGGTTTTTCTGGTAAAACACAGAGTAGACTGTCACCAGCTTTGGGCTGGGTTTCCTCTGCATTAGAGTTGGTTGGAGCTCTGCAAGCTCCAGGTGAGTGAACTGCCAGTCACAACCATTGGGTTGTGACTGCAGGCAGAGAAGGAAAACTGGGAAGTTTGTTTTAACTAGGTATATCAGCGTGGAGGACTGAGACAAAGGAAAACCTTTTTTCTGTACTCTGAATTAGCATAGGTACTGGGACTTGTATGACTGCTTGGTGTCACCTTTAGTCATCTGGAGAAAGTCTTTACCCAGAGCTCCACTTGCATAGTGTTTAGGTGCCCAAGAGGCTGGTTGGTGTTCGTGAGTTGGGCCCTCTAAGATGGGGATCTTTACTTTCCACCTGCCTTCTTCAGGTGTATCTGTCCCTTCGTCAGTTTGCTTTTGAGAATTATTCAAGAGAATCTTAGTTTAGCTTGGCAAAGGAGTTACGTAAGCCTCATTAATCTTGCATAATAACTACAGTAAAGATTTTAATGCCCAGCTTCCTACTTCCTCTAGAACTAGTTCCTGTTTTGAAATGTGATGATGTGTTTGAGGAACAGCTAATTAGCAGTTTCCCTTGAAAATTCACAGAGGTTTATTTTAAGAACTTTTCCTTTCATATTCAAGTGTAGGTTCTTTAAATTATTAATTCCATAAATCAGGTCAGCATCCCTACACAGCTCTGCTTGCCTTTTATCCTAAAATTATCCAGATCTTATTTTTAGACATTGGGATTAGCCATTTTACTCTTCTACATTTAGAGATATGCGAATATACGGAGGCAATGTGATACAGCAGGGGGTTACAATGTAAACTGAATTTTTGCACTGTGTTTTGGACCTGCAGTAGTGCCCAGGGGCATCAGCCAGATTCAGAGCACAAGCTTATGGAAGGATGCACAGAGCCTTTCTTCTGAACACCTTTCAATCTGATGTAAAGCAAAGCTCATCAAGTGATTTTAATTAACAGAAAGAGTAAAGAAAGAGAGTAACAGAGTGCAGTTGACCACGCTCTTCAGCTAGGCACTCAGCTGAGGTTTGCTGAAGCATATAATCTCATTTATTTTTAATATTTTGTCCTTCCTGCCCCTAACCTAGCAGTTGTGGAGACATTTGTGTGTGTATTGTGTGAAGTTTGTCCAGTGCAAAAGAAGAAACTAGCCAGCTGCCTGAATTCGTTAAGGGCAGGCATTCCTTAAGTCGAGGGCCAATATTAGTAGCATTTACACAACTTCTTATCAAAGAAAAAAAAAAATGTATGCACCATAAAGGAAATAACCAGCAACTCTTTTGGTTTCCTTTGATTATTATTCTAAGTAGCATTAGAAAACCTGTTGACACCGTCTTTTTTTAAGTAAGTGAAAATGGTATTGCATTTTTTTATTTAGTTAAAAGAAGTATGTAATGCCTAGAAGTGGTTTAATAGCCTCAATATTTGCTCAGTGAACTCAACTAAATAAAGGTAATGGGCTTCCTGTGCCAGCTGCTCTACGACAGTGAGCACACCTAAGACCTGCTTCTGAGAAGGAGATGGGAACTGTGGCTCTCTGCTAAGCCTACTTTATGAATCAGAGAGGACACCAAGATGTTTTCACTTCTTTCTTCCCAGAAGGAAGACTCAGAATCAAACTAAATATTAACCACAGTTTGGATAATGGTCTGCTCAAGGCAATGCCAAAATGAGCTTATCAAAAATATTCTTCTAATTGTTTTAATTATCCTAAACAAAAACATAAACTGCTTTACTTACACTCTTACTGTAGTATATATTTTAATTTCTTCCATACTGATGCTAGGAAGTCAGAGGAAGCATGAGTGCTGGCAAGAAGGTGGAGCTGTGTGTATTACAGTATGTTAGAGATTGGAAGGGACCTCAAAAGATCATCTAGTCCAATCCCCCTGCCGGAGCAGGAACACCTAGATAAGGTTACACAGGAACGTGTCCAGGCGGGTTTTGAATGTCTCCAGAGAAGGAGACTCCACAACCTCCCTGGGCAGCCTGTTCCAGTGTTCCACAGTATCACAGTATGTTAGAGATTGGAAGGGACCTCAAAAGATCATCTAGTCCAATCTCAAGCATTTAAACCTCTATCTGAAAGGCATTGCTGAAATGTAGTGGTCTTTTACGTATTTCTGTCTTAAAATTAAAATATCAGTTCAGAAGGGTACTTGTAGGAAAAAAAAGGACTGTCATTCCTGAACTGAAGCTGGTGCTTCATGCCAATCTGTGTGATTGTTCTACAGGTTTTCTTTACACATGACACATAGTATAATGACTAATAATATAATCATTGCATAAAAGGTAGGCAACTGTTTCTTCTGTGTTTCACCTGGTAGGTGTTCTGGTAGTTCATGAATGACAGTGAAAAATAACTACTCCAGTTATTTGTATTTTTTTATCTATTTACTTACTTATCTATTTATTTATTTATTTATTACTGACTTCTCAGAAAGTTTGTGAAGTTTTGGCTTTGTAACACATTATAAATCACATTTTAGCTCATCTTGTAAATAAAGATAAAATTGCCTTCCCAGTGTATTTCATGTTTTCCTGTGTAATTAACACCTAGTTCACAGTTGTGTCTGCCAGTCAAAGCTCTGCCTTCTTCCTCCTGATGCTTCCTTGATACTTTGTTTAGACTGCAGAGATTTTCAGTGTCATCCTTGGTATACTTTAAATAAGTCCAAACAGGAAAAGGAAGGTGCTTCAACAAGTCAACAGTGTAGATCATTATAACTCAGAGGGGCTATTTTAAAAGTATGAAACAATTTGTATTTGTTTACTACTTACATCATTACTTCTTGATCCATTTTTCATACTAAGTACACTGGTTTTCAAAAAAGCCAGGAAATACTAGTTTCCATCCGTATTTCTGAAGTAAAGATCAGTCCAAAAGCCTGGACCTAGCTAATAGCCCCTTTTTATCGTGCATGTGTGCCTTTTCCAGTACTGTGCCCTCTGTCAGTCTACTTGCTTGCCCAGTGAACTGCATCAATGAGCTGATCAAAGTCAGAAACAGCTCTATTTTTTTGTGAGCTGTCCTTACCCCAGATGGGTTCCCATCTCGGGCTCATCACAGGGCTGTGTGGACAGTGTTACCAACACAGCAGAGGACATGCTGGGGCTGGGTAGCAAGTAGCAGTATAGCCTTGAGCCCATTGGAGGCACCTAGGACCACCTGTTGGTTCTGAAAATTTGCCCTAAGCTGCCCTAGTTACAGCCCTGCATGTGCGAGTACTGGTGGGATTAACCAGCTCAGCACGTAACATATGTCTCAGCTAGTTAAGACCCAGGAATTTGTCACTGCAAATATGCTGAGGTAGTACATTTTTTTTCACAGTGCCCTTAAAACACGCTGACTGACTGAGGACCTTCATACAACCACAGTGGCAGTGTAGATGTTTTGTGGCACAGCCTAGTGAACGAAACACATCCCCACAACCCCTGCTCAGTTCTTCAGCTTGAAGAGCTCAAAGTCCTGCTTCTCAGGAGAGTCCCTAGTGTCTATGCAAGACATGTAAATGCCCCTGCAAGCTCAGTGCCCTGGTAAGCTACAGGAGGGAGGAAGAGGGATTTTCTACCCTTACTGTCATCATCTTGTTTCCCCTCAGCATAGATAAAGATTAATGAAAGGCAAAGCGTTAGAGTGATTGAGTGTTAATTTCCTATAGATCAAGGCTCTCACCTGCAAAGAGGGAAGCTAAGATTTCACTTTCTGTTCCTTAGATTACTTCTGTAGTTTGTCTGAGATTGTCATTTAATAGAACACAGAAGGAGGCTTAGCAGGAGGGACCATAGTTTACAGAAATACCCCTATGTGCTAATTGTGAGCTGTCAGCAAGCATTTTCATTTTTTAACTTCTTAAGCCAAGTTTTCACTAGGACATCCCTGTAATGCTTTTTGTTAAATTCCATTTGCCATATGCAATTTATTTTTTTTTGCGCCATCTCACCTAGATATTAGCTGTTCTCAGCTGTTGTTTCTAAAAAATGTGCATCAGATTTCAGTTTGGCAACAAAGATGTAAATTACAGTAAATTACTTCCATTTTTATGTTGATCTTGCTAAGAAAAAAAAGCATATGTGAAAACTGCAGTTGTTAAGTCGAGCTCTGTACTAAAAATTTTTAATAGTTACATGTGCATGATTTTTAGAATCTGAGTGGAAAGTTTTCCATTAACTTAAGTAGACTTTTATGGACCTTAATTTTTAATGCAAATGATTTTGCATGTGCATTATATATACAGATGGTAGTAACTGCATGAAGAAGGTGAATTGTTTTCGCAAATAAATCTCTGACTTTTCTGCTTGTTATATCCTGGAGAAGGTGTTTGTTAAGTGGGTTATATTGTGCGCATGCATTTACTGTGCAAGTCAGGATGACTACTGCAGCACAGTTTAACATTCCCAGGCTGTGGTGTATTCAGATAAAATGTAATTTCTTTGCACCTCATCAAGATGCTCTGTTTATAGCCCTATCACTGTGCACTTATATTTGAGACATAGTTTTAAAACGTGACAGTAAATGTTGCAATGATGCAAATATAGTTTGTCATTATTATTATTATAAACAATCCTAAAAGTATTTGCAGTGACTGATACAGAGTGTTCATTTTGGAGAGGTTTTGAATTTTTTTTACAAATAAGCAAGGCAATATATCTTTTCTTAGACAGAACTCTTATTCCAAATCAGTCATTAGTTATGGCATTTATAGGTGTCTATTGTTCTTTTTTGTTTCCAGGGAAGACGTGGCAAACCAGGCCCCCCAGGAAAACCAGGACCACCAGGACCTCCTGTGAGTAACTAGGGAGGGGAATGGGAAATTTTCAGTCTATCCTGGAATTTTTTAGCATTTTTATAGCAGGTTACCTGACCATAATTGTGGTTGAAAACAATCCATTTGTACTTTGCTGTATCGAGCAGCTACTGTTGCTAGCCTTTTGATACAAAAAAGATAAAAAGATTGGGTCCACAAATACAAGGGACTACACAGGAGAGAAAGAGCAAGATGTGGACTTCAGTGGAGGAAGCTGAAATTGGCATTCAAAGACTGGCCATGTATGCTAAATGTGAATACTCTGCATTCATTCACTTTGCAAAATGTGTGATGCTCTGTAAAAGATGGGATAATAAAGGTGAAGGACTGTGCGCAGCATGTGCCAACTGCCTGAATGGTGGGGAGGATTATACCCAGCACTGGAATGAACACTCAGCTGTAGTTCAAATGAGTTTACTGAAGAATTAAAAAGATTAGGAAGTACACGACTCGGTGAAAGGATTTGTAATATGAAGAACTAAAGGGTTTAGCTCAGATCTAAGAAGTTTGGGATTTAATTTTATTTTTTTTTCTTTTCCTGCAAGAAATACATGATTTCAAATTTGAAGTCGAGCATGGATGTATGTTAGTCTAGAATGAGCACAGCCTTCCTCTGGTAGAGGAAGACTCGGTCATTTTTGTAAAATTCCCTATATATTGTATTGTAAAAATGCTGTTGTGGACAAATACGAACAGCTGTTTGTGGATTAAATAAACTGTTGCTGCTTTACATTCTTAGTATTAAACAAGGATTTAATAATTCCTTTTTCTGCTTACCAGAAATAGGTAAATAAAGGATAGCAATTTATGCATTAGAGCATTGAATTCATGTGCTTCAGCCGCACTGCAAGGGAAAACTTGTCTTATTTGTAGAGAGGAGAATAATGCATTGCTGCATAAAATACAGTGCCTAAAATGAAATATATGACATTTACATCCATCTAAAATTTTATAAATACTTTTTCCCTTTTTCTTTGCAAAATATGTTCAGAAAGAGGAGTTGATGATGGAGTTCAGTTGTCCTGTATAAAACTAAAGAGTTTCAAGTTCATTCCTCTTCTCCCCTACATGTAGTCATATTGCAGTCTTGCTCATTTGAATCTTTTGTACAGTTTGGGCTTCCTAATATTGAAATAGTATCATAGTCTGCAGAAGTCTGAGCAGAGGAAAGGAGTGATGCAGAATCTTTCATAAACCAAATGAAAAATAAAAATAACTACAAAAATTAAAAAGGCAAACCATGGCAGAGGACAGTGTTGCACCTAATCTACATAGCTTTTTGTGAGCCAGTGAAAAGCTGTTTCTCCATTACAGATTTCTGCCATCACAGATTTGCTGGCAGGCCAGGCTTGTGAAGATGTATGATGCTTGGCAGATATACCAGAAATCTTTAGTAAAAGCTAAATTGCACTTTAATTACTGAGACCTAGTTCACATTGTTTTTACAGCAAACAGAAAGCTCAACTTTGTCAGCATAGCAGCATTCATACAAGAGAGCTCTGTATGAGTATCATAGCCTAGCACTTCATATAAGAAAAGCATTCCTCAAGCAGCCACGGCCTAAATACTGGTTAAAAGTATTTGTTTCTGACTATCTTAATGCAGTCCTTTGGATACAGCTATACCAGCATCTTGGGTTCATCTTCCAAGACTGAGCATATAAGACATAGAAAAAGCATGCTGTAGAAGCAGTAATGCCTGCTAATGTGCATTGTGAGTATCCCCATGTTTAAATTGCTACAGCCTGTACATACCAAAAAGACATTGACACAGTCTATCATTCCTCATCTCTTTTTCAAGGCTATATTGTGCTTCTTGTTACCTCTTCTAATATTAAGTAGTGGAAGCTTTCTCATGCACATGGATATATTGTTGGCCTTTACTTTGGCCTTTACAAAGTGCAACAGAGTATCATACCTGCAGGGAGGTTGCTTTTAGAACTTTGGCATATGTAGGGTACAAAATGCTTAAGAGATTGACTGAACATGTAAAAATTAGACTTTTCAGCAAAGTAAGTTTGGTGTTTGATTAATGATTTGAAAGAACAGAATCATAGAATCATAGGACAGTTACGATTGTAAAGGACCTTAAGATCATCTAGTTCCAACCCCCCTGCCATGGGCAGAGACACCTCACACTAAACCATCTCACCCAGGCTCTGTCCAACCTGGCCTTGGATACTGCCAGGGATGGAACATTCACAGCTTCCTTGGACAACCCATTCCAGTGCCTCACCACCCTTACAGTAAAAAACTTCTTCCGTATATCAAATCTAAATTTTCCCTGTTTAAGTTTGAATCCATTACTCCTTGCCCTGTTACTACAGTCCCTAATGATTAGTCCTTCCTCAGCATCCCTATAGGCCCCCTTCAGATACTAGAAGGCTGCTATGAGGTCTGCATGCAGCCTTCTCTTCTCCAGGCTGAACAGCTCTAACTTTCTCAAGCCTATCTTCATATGGGAGATGCTCCAGCCCCCGATCATCCCGTGGCCCTCGAATTTGAACTTGAGAAAAAGAGATTCAGTCATTTTTTAGGGTAGCTACAGTACACACTGTGTGTTTGACATTAATAAATTTACCTAATTTATTAATCAAAGTCTGCCATGACATTAAATACTTAATTTAGAAATTAGAGCAGCCAGCTGTTCAGTAAGGACAAAAACAAACCTAAGAGAAGGAAAGTTCTGCCTCCATGAGGCGGAAGTTTGTAAACAGGGTACAATGCCCAGAGGTTTGGTATAAAGCACATTTCAAGAAAAAGTGGGTGCAGGGAGAGAGACCACATTCTAAATAGTCAAAAAGAACAACTGGACACTACTAAATGGTGTGAGTTTTGATTAAAGTAATCAATTTTTACCTATTTTCTAACTCTCTTTCAATACCTCATACCTTTTTTATTTTTTTTTTTTTTTTTTGGTTTTTTTTTTTTTTTTTACCTCCAGTAAAAATGATGTTTGCAGTGATTTTCTAGTCCCTAAACACATTTGCCAACAATCTCACATCTTTGGTTAACCACCTATGTCAGTGTTAGAAATACAGATAGATTGGGCAACTGGTGATGAAACTACTCAGTTGAAATGGGACTCTTGCACCAGGCATCCACTCTTTTGTGTCATTTTTCTCTTATCCATTCTTTATGTCATCTTTTCCCTTTGGAGCAAATCCTGTACCTATAAAAGGCAAGGGGTCAATGAGGAATTTTATTGATGGGTTATAAAAAAAAATTTCATCTATGTGGATGATGTTCCTCCTTTGAGTATTTTTTTAATGTTTATTAAATGTTGTAGACTTTCAAAGTGTTCTGTTATTCCCTTCTGGTTCAGCATTCATGGTTTGCATCCTTGCTGTCTGATGTTAGTTTTGAGTACAGTTCTGTTATTTCAATACAAAATATGTGCTTGTGCTTCTCTCACTCCAGCAGGTAACAATTTATGCTGAAAACGAGGAATCAAAATGGTTAGGTAGAACAGCAGCTCCCTCTAGTGCTTTTTGATCCCTTTTCCCCTTTTAAAGATCCTGGAGAGTGATCCCTTGTCTCGAGAGCAATTTAAAACTTCTGTTAAATACAATACTCATTTCACTCTCAGAAGCATTCTGAAAATTACGATTGTTACATCAAAATCTCTGTACCCTTCAAACTTATTTCATACATTTTCTCGCTAGCATTTTCTTCTAAAGTCTTCTGAAAAAAAATACTGTCTCTTTCACAAGCAGTTTTCCTGCTTGGCATGGCTCTTCACTGAAATTGGAATGCTGACTTTGTGAAACAAAAGGACATACTGTGATAGAATGCTGTGAGGTTGTAAGTACACCATCTTGATCTGGCTTCAGAACAGAACTGATAGATTTCTTCTGCCACTGCTGCTAATAAAAATATCCACAGAACATAGCAATTCAGAAGGGCTTAGCAGCAGTCCATAGCTTATTTTTCACATGTACAATGCATCAGCTTTCCAGTTCCTACACCATTTCCACACCCCCCCCCCCCCCAGTAGTTAAAAGCAAATGTATGGAAGGTATTTGAACTTAGTATTTATATGCTGTTGGCCTAAGGATGTATCAGCCCACTTCTGCAGTCTTCACTGAGGCAAAAGGCTTTTCTGGTCTTGGGTTGTAGAATTAGTACCTGGTTTTGCGTAGAGTTCTGTTAAGAGGAGATCATTTTTTTTTTTTTCTGTTAGTCTTGTTTAGAAAATAGGTGCATGATGTCTGGTACATTATGGTCAGTTGTGGGACGTTTGGGGATTTTTTTTGTTGTTGTTTTATTATTATTATTTTTACTTTTGCATGAATCAGCAGCTCTGTATCTTGACTTACATAGGTATGCTAGAGGAAAGAGTTCTCTGGGGTGAGCCCAAGTACGGCTTCTGGCCACTGTTGCTGTTTGGCAGAAGCAAAGTGCTATCAGCACTAGTTTTTAAAGGTAGGTGTCCTAGGTTCAGCAGTAGCAGTCATTAAAATCATTAAAAATGGCTGCTACTGCTGAACCCAGGACAGTAGGAAACATCAGGACTACCTGGTTTGGCCAAGTGCCATTTGCCTAAGAAGCTGTCTGTGGCAGAGGCGAGAAAGAAATTTTGGGAATGCTAAATCACAGCCTAGTATACTGCAATCAGGATTATTTGTCCTCTTAAGTATGCTGTTCTCTACCAGTATATCCAAAGTTGTTCTTTGCAGCCAGGGTACATTTATTTCATGATTTCTGTAGCCTTTGAAGCTATCATTCAGTTTATCATTTACCTTCACAAGGGGCTGAGCTTGGTATCTTCTATCTTCACAACTATTTTTGCTAGGAAGATTAGCTTTGTTACTCCTCACGGTCTTAAATTAAAATAGGGTTTCAATTTTGTTTGCATGTGAGGCAGTGGAGAAAGTTCACAGACTACTTCTGTGAATAAATTTCTTCATTTAATTCCATACGCTTTCAGCCTCTTGTTATTCAGTATGTTTGTCAATGCCACCAAACTAGTTATCTTAAGTTGCCAGCAGTTTGCCTTAGAAATTTCATTTCCATTGCCTCGGAAAATGCTGTCATTTCTCTACCAATATTTTGAAAGTGAGTGAATGTTATCATTTAATTACAATAAACAGAAAATTAAAGCAACGATAAGTGAAAACTGTCAGTAGCATTTCTGGTATTTCTGGACTTTGAGCTGCTTTTTAGAAGAATATTGGAAATGCTTGCACAGTAAGATGGGAATGGGTGGCAAGGGTTGGTCATATTGCTTATTTCTATGCATTTAAGATTTTTAAATCCATATCAAAATGTAATTTATTACATGTATTCTATCCTGGTAGACATCATGCCTTCATCATTCTTTTTTCTCTTTGGAATAGTTATACAATATTGCACATCTGCACTGATGAGTTTCATGATTATTTGTGTTATAGTGATCAGAAAAACAGTATTTTATCTTAATGGACATTCACACATCTGAAATAGATGGATAAAATGATTACAGTTAGTCACTTGCTGGGCTGTGTTCTCCAAAATGGTTTGTTCTTGATATGCAACCAGTGCAATTCAGTTGTTATACAGGTTACTGCATGGACTGTGAGATTGGGTAGACTTTTTCAGCAGTCTCATCTTTACAGAAATGCAGATTAACTATAAAAGTTAACGGAGAAAAATACAAACCTCAGAAATTTTACAGTTTGAAGCTATTTCCTTTTAAGCACCTGTGCTTTTATTCTGGCCTTGTCTATAGAAATAATATCCAAAATCTGTTTGTAATTTTGGAAAACAATCAGGGTACATTTCAGTTCTTATTTGTACAACTGTACACTTCGTGTCTTTCATTTCCCTCAATTACACAACTTGATACTAAAATGTAAAGAGTAAACCCCACTCAAGTGAGCTTCAAAGTGGCAGCTATGCAAAATTATCATTCCAAAGCTAGAAATTGCCTTTAAAGTAATTCCTAAATTCTTAAACTCTTAAAATTTTATTGCTTATTCACTTGCAAGCCAATACTACTGATTCCTTTTTGTCTGTAGAGATATTTAAGTGGATTATGTATGCATCTATCTTAGCAGAGAAAAACAGCATGGATGGGAAGAAAGACTAGAGTTTAGGAAAACACCCTTGAATAAAAGTATTTTCTGTTGTTGTACACTGGTTTTATTAATTTTATTTTAGAAAGAATGATGTAAAGATAAAATTATGAAATCTATGTCAGATATTGAAAATGGAAAGACTAAAACCAGAGGAAGTGTTTTACTTTTGGTAACAAAAGGCTGTGGCAGTCAAGAATGCAACTCAAATGCCTTAAGTTCCCTTGTCTGCCTAAGCCATGAGACAGTTCTGTGGGGTTTTGAGGTTATGTTTCAAAACCATTACACGTACAGAGGCTTTCCAGTTTGTCAAAAATATCTGAGAGGTTGGGATTGGTAGCAGAAACAGCATTCAGTCCTTTCTGGGTTATATGGTTGCAGCAGTTTCATTTATAGAAAAACAATAAGGGAAACAACATGGTGGGAAACAAGAAGGGGGAAATAATTGTTTTCTTTTGACTGCCTGCAGGCTTAGAAAGTTCTGCAATGATTCTGGATTCAAGGATTTCATGCTATAGGATTAGAGAGTTGGCGTTGAGGTATCTAATAAGTAGGCACTGTAAAAGTTCAGCCATTAATTTCAGAAATCAGAGCTGAGCAAGCATCTTAGGCAAAATGTTACGACTATATATATCTTATTTTGCAACATAAATTTGAAGTGACAACTCACTTCTGAAATAAAATGGAAAAGTTTATGGCATTGTATCTCTCCTGATATTGGGGAACAGAGAGGGAGTGAGGCACCTATGATGTTTCTAAATCTTCCTAATGTATCCTAATATTTTAAGTATCACTATCTTTCTGTAAAAAATTTAACCACAGTAAAATACATAGGATGATGTCTCATAATTTAGTTATGATAGCACAACTGTTGTTCTGGTGTGCTGCCATAATGTTATAGACTCATAGGATCATAGAATAGTTAGGGTTGGAAAGCACCTTAAGATCATCTAGTTCCAACCCCCCTGCCATGGGCAGAGACACCTCACATTAAACCATGTCACCCAAGGCGCTGTCTAACCTGGCCTTGAACACCGCCAGGGATGCAGCCTTCACAACTTCGTTGGGCAACCCATTCCAGTGCCTCACCACCCTTACAGTAAAGAACTTCTTCCTTATATCCAATCTAAACTTCCCCTGTTTAAGTTTTAACCCATTACCCCTTGTCCTGTCACTACAGTCCGTAATGAAGAGTCCTTCATTTTCTCTAACAGACTGATTCAATCCAAAAGAAGCTGCCAGTGTTGAAAACTCAGGGATTTAGAAACTGACTCTCCTTCTCCTCTGTGCCTGAAAAAAAAAAAAAAAAAAGATATAATGAACTTACAGAAAATGATTTATTGTGTAGTAAAATAAAAATCAAAATACTTTTACATAACCACTGCTCTTACAATATAACATTAGTTAAATAAATTGCTAAATTAAAATGACCTTCTGTTGCTTTTTTCCTTTCTGCTTTTTTCTTTCTTTTTTTTTTTTTTATTTTGTTTTGTTTTCCATATAGGGCCCTTCTGGACTAAAAGGAATTCTGGATTCACTGAACAAGCATTATAATGAGGTATGGAGATTTTATAGTGTGTGTGTGTGTGTTTATGGCTAGGAAGTGTCTAATGTAGAAATTACAACAGTTTTGATCCCTGTGAAGCACATTCCAAATTAATTCAAATGGTAGATCCTTCCCTGTCCTCTTTCTGCATCCTTCAAAGGCTCAGTTTACACTTCAGTCACATACCTACTGTGTCATATATCCTGCTGACGTGGCTTCCATCCCATCCATCTTCTTCTCATGTATTTTTGCTTGTATATGACTCAAAAAGGAGATGGGCGGACCACCTAGCTGTTAGCATAACAGTACCAGCTTCCCATTTCTAAACCTAGTTGCTCTAACCATACTTTTCCTCTATGTCTGAATAACATTTAGACATTTAAATGTCTAAACCAACATTTCTTCTTTCTTGACCTACTATGTTCTGATCATAAAAGTAGAATAGAAAGACAAGGAGGCATAATTTTAAAAGCTAGCAAACCATGAGAATTGTCCTGTTTGTATTATAGACTAACAAAATATTGCCTTCATTATAGCACCTTCTGCAGCTACAAGCACTTAACAGAAAAAAGTTAAAATTGAGTAGACATCTTTCCATGTGGCAGAGCTTTTAAATTCACATCACAGATTTTTCAAATCATTTAAGCAGTGGTAGTGTCTGCCCTTGTAAGGGATCTTAATTCAGAGAAAACACAAACTTACCTGATTGGAAAATTAAATTTCATTCGAAGACTGATGAAGCACTATTACAGTAATATTTGCTAAATATAAAATTACTGTGTTCATCACATGTCATCATCATGCAAGTTGTGTTCATCATCATGCAAGCCAAACCTGGAAGACATCCTTTTCTTTTAGTATTAAAATGCATAACTACAAGGAGCAGGTGAATTCAAGATATTTTTCTTATATAAGATACACAGATGAGTACTAAAATCTTTTTTTTAATAGGGAATCCGGAGCGAATTTCATGTCAAACATATCTTTCCAGTTACTTTTACAAGTGCAGTGATTTCTCTAATATTTAATCCATTCCAAATCTGTGTATCACCTTAGGATATGCATTAGGAATTAATCATAGTTTATATGCTATCCTGGACAGAGACTTCTTCATAGCTGGAGACTTAGTTTCTGAGTTTGATCTGCCATTTCATATATGTGTGTTGAAGTTTTTTGTATTTTAGGTTGTTTATACGTTTCACTTTCTTACCAGTTTCTTTTTTTCTGCCAAAGATAGCTTTCACTGATACCAGTCACATTTCCTCTATCAATACCATATTTATTGTAACTCGTTCCCTGCCTCCTGATCATTAATCTCTTTTATGCTGATAGTCCCTTTAAGGTTAATTCTGTAGGAGGAAAACAAGTTGTGATCTTCAGGAACTGGCAAGCATCTGTCACCAAAAATCACATTTCTTATCACTGTAAGGTTCTAAGATTCCTAAGGTGTGTTGTATTTATAATCAGCAATATTCTGGAAAAAATGTGGGCCAGCTGCTCTGTGTCTATAAATTAATCACCTTTAAACCCTGTGCAGCTTACCAACTTTCTTCTTGCTTCAGCTGTCTAGATTGAAGATTTTGGTGACTCTGTCGTAAGCAATTAACTGTTCAACAAGGAAATGCTGTCTGGTTTCAAATGAGAGAGGAAATGGTTTTCTGATCCGAGTAGCAGGTTTTAAACACACAAACTCCCTGTAGCTACATGTTCAGATCTTCCCAGAGTCAACTTTTAAGTCTCCAACTGCTACAGCAAACATGTTATTTTCTATATGGTTTATGATGGGATATTCCCATCAAGGACAAGACAAAGACATCAAAGAGGTCATCAAAGAGAAGGACAGCTTGTCTGCTTTGCCAATGATAATTCAATTAAGCAGATGTATGCACCAATAACTTTCCTTCCTCCCCCACCTCTGCTCCCACTATTATGTGATATGATGAGGGCTGATATTGCTCACTGTATCTTGGAGGTACCAAGCAGTCTTTCACATTCCAGTGTATAATTTGCAGTCTGCCTCAATTACTTGCATTTGTAAGATGACAGTTCAGTGATATTCTGAGGTTTTTGAGATGCCTTACACCACAGGAAACGGTCTTGACATTTTACATTTTATGCATGTTCTTAAGGATCTAACAAAGTCTTCTTTGAGTTTGGATTTTTAAAGTGTTAAAGTGTTTAAATATTGACCACATTTGTGGTGTTATTTATTTATCCTCCAACCCCCAGAGGATATTAGCATTGCTTCTTTGCATTGGTTTTCTAGAAATCATGAGAAACTGCTGCCAAAAAAATGTGGGGATTAGTGAGAGAGCTCTTAAGACTCATGATTAGTATCGTCTTTTCTATAATTTCTCAGTTTCTTAGCAGATTAGATTCTTCTGACTTCTGTATGACATCAATGAGTAGTTGTAATTGCACAATGTGTTTAAATAATTTCTTGCAACCAAGCTTTTTCTGGCTCAGTATCAATCCCCTTATCGTGTAAGGAGGCTGGAGTGCGAGTCTTTAAAAGCATAATTTACTTGATCCATCTGTACAGTGAAAAGAGAGCACTATAAATACAATTGCTGATTGGGGTAGCAAATTGTGCTGAATGGCAAAGTAAGATCAGCAGTCTTCCTTTAATGAAGGTATGGGGAACCTGCTGCAGATAAATAGTAGCATTGATCCTTAATGGGGTGGGAGACAGTGCTGGAGCATTTCTTCCCTCATCGTTCACACTTTGTGCCTGTTCTTGCAAGGCATGACGATTTTTATATTCCCTCTTTTATGTCCTTTGTGTTTTCAGTGTAAATGAGATGCTTTGTTGTGTTCTAAACATGCATTTTGTCCTCTTCATTATGCCAAGAAGCTGATTCTGCCCTGCACTGTAGGTTAGCTTCCTTCAGTGATTGGTAAATGAGGTCACATGACTAGTGTTTATACACTCTCAGACCTCTGTTATCAACCTTTGCCTGGGTTTTCAAGGCCTCTGCTTGTCATCTTTTTCACTTACCAGTTTTCTGTACATAGAAGATTATTTCAGTCAAACCTGCTTTTACACATCTTTGGAAAGGGCATACAAATCAGTCAAATCTGAAATGTTCTCCCAACACATAAAAATAAAAATGAAACCACAGCAAAAAGCAGTTGAAACTACATCAGAATCTGCTCAGGAGATGTTTCCAAATCATAACTCATTATAATTATAGCTTATTATTGAATAATTCATTATTACTTTTCTAAGGTTTTTTTAATTGGCATATTTTACTTACATTTTGTTACAAAGAGCAAATGACCCATAAATATGTGAAAAGCATAAAAGTACTTATTTGATCTAATACCCTTTTTTAGCTTTTCCTGCATTTCTCAGGTTCCCTTCTTTGGGCATCTTCCTATTGGGCTGATTTTGATAATTAAGGTAGTAACTCTGTTGAGAACCTTAAACACCAATGAAGATCCTTCAGGACATTAACACGTGGAAAAGAACTGCAAATTTTATTTAGGTTATATTCAGCTGTCGACTTCTGAAAATATTAATAGTGTAAATGCCACTTTTACTCAGTGTGATGTTTTCCAATTTTAGAGATATGTTTGGATACATACATATATACATACATACATATCCATACATACATATTTCTGGAGCATGGCAAGGGGAAATTGGTTTGCTCAGGGTTCCTATTCAGCCCAGTGGCAGATGTTATAGGACTTGAGCTCCTTGTGTCCAGACTTGAGCTCATTTTTCAGTGTCATTGGTTTTGACCCTTTTTCCATTGTCAATAAAAGAGAACATGTTCCCTTTAGGTAGTCTGAACCTGGCTTTGTGCAGAGGAAACCATTTGGTTTGTATTTTATTGTGCCTTTACCTTGTACAGAAGAGTAAATAAATGCGGTACAGTAATACCTGAGCAAGTATACAGCCTGAACCCCTGGTCCTTAAATCTGTCTGTTTTCTTAGAGGAGCAGTGAGGAGTCTTTTGATTATATATATCTCCTTCTGTCTCACTACTGTACTATTTGACATTTCATGCTGCTCAAAAGTAAAAAGCTTGTGGTTTTCTCATAGAAGTGATTTTTATTGTTCTTTTCTAACATACTTGAGAAATGTACTGTAATAAGGATCATAAGTTCTTTGCATTGAGTTAAAAAAAAAAAAGTCACACATTTGCATAGCAGTATTCAACAGACATTTCCCTTTTATGCTTTTGTTCATATTCTTCTAGTCTGACTGGAATATGAATGCATGACAAAGGATGTGTTGCTGCAGTACATTAATTAGGTGTACTATATAGGCATTTAGTACCCATTTCTAATAGTAAATTAGGGCTTATGAATTTACATACTAGTAATTTACATTAAATAGTTATTGTAAATGCATTGTTACTGTAAATAAATGATGACATGTCCTGTTACATGATGTTTTTGGTGATATTTCTTCCCAGAGTGATACGAGACTACTAGGATTACTTGGGACTCCTGGACTTAAAGGCCAGAAGGGAGACATTGTAAGGATTTTAGATTAAACTGGAGAAATTTCTAAGTGTCTATCTAACCTGACACCCTTAACACTGTATCTTTGATTTGCTTTATCACAATGATCTTTGAAAGAATAATGTTTAGATATGACTGACTGTTTAAATTCTATATTCCAATACTGGACTCACCTTGCTGTCCTGCATCTGCAGCACATAAGCCTTTCTTCTGTAATATATGATAACCAGAAAGGGAAAATTCAGGAACAAGTGTGGTTTCTGCATCGCTCTCTGAGGACAAGTCAAATGAGGTGGCCAGCTGGCTATGGGGAAAAGGACTGCAAAATTTGAAATTCAGAAAATCTTTTACTACTAAATGGTGAATATTTAAAGCAGTTTCTCTGTAACAATGGGACTTGCTATACCAAAAATGCTTAAAATCAGCCTTTAAAAATTTTGTGTTCAAATTCTGAATCTACACCATAAAGCAATATATTGTTTGTAGGTGTCTGTCCTGTTTAAACAGTGGAATGAATTCTTAACAATTGGACACTTTTCAGACTTGGAAGAAGAGAGGAAAGTTCTCTGTCTGTGTGACAGGATTGACAACATTTTTATTGGGAAGCCTGAAGCTGTGCTGTAGATGGCAGTCATTTCAATTAATATGATGTTTAAAGCACAGATTTCCATTGCAATAAAAGTTATCATTTTGTGCTCTACACAGAACAAAGTACAGTTGAAAGAGAGAAGGTTTTTTGCACTTTTTAGAATATAAAATGTTTAAAATATAATTTATTTTGTTAAAAGGGTCAAAAAGGAGAGTTGGGAATGACCGGTGCAAAAGGAGAAAAGGTAAATTAATTCCTTACTTCTGTGCTTATGTGTGATGCTAGAAGGTGGCTGAATGATTACTAATCAAATCTTGGAAAATATACTTAGAATAAAAAAAAATATATGTAGGCATAGCTGTCAGTCTCTGAATGTCCTTAGTAATTTACTTAAGCCCATCTTTGAGAGACTATTTGTGTCTACAAGTAAATTTACCTGTCCCAACAGTTCATGAAGTCCTTAACTTCAACCATACTCAGACTGAATACCAGTTTGAGATTATGTTTATATAAGTCTGTGATTAGTGATTGTTTCATGAACTAGACACCATTCATATTTTTTCAAGTTAAAATGAAATCTTCAATATCTTTACAAAAAAAACAGGAGTCTAAATTATTAAAATTTATAAATAAATTCCCTCATTTGATTTTTTTTAATTTAAGCTTAAATTTCTCAGAAAGACTTGGGGTGAGGGATATTACTGAGGAATAGGAATGTATTGTATTTTTCTAGGAACATGTGATATATGCAAGTTCTTTATCCACTGAATAATGAGCATTTTGCTGTTCAACTGTTAAGCTTCCAGTTGTTTTCTTTGGTCATTTCCTTGTGTCTAAACAGTTTTCATGCAGGCAGAAACTTTTTTTTACTTTATCAATATGACAGATTCATAATTTTGTGTGTTATAAAGTACTTGTGTTTGAGAATTTGTCAGATTTGTACTTATTGCCACTCTTTTTAGTTCATGTTCTTGACCCTCCCTTCTGCTCCTTGCTTAAAAGGATCACACATGTCATGGTCTTGTCATTAAGTCAACATCATCTCTCAAGTAAACTTTTGTAATCCATATACTTATGTTTTATATAGGTTTTAAAAAACCCAACATTTTTCAAGGACTTTACAAAAACCATACATATATACTATTTGCCATTTGAAATAAATTTAACATCTTTACGTTTCCATAGGGAGAGCCTTCTGAAAAAGGGGACAAGGGAGATCCAGTGAGTATAGCTATGTTCTGAAATCATGATATGAGTAATTTACATTCGGTATTTTTTTCATACTCTATTCGCACTGCAATTCTTTTCTTTGCACACTTTTATTAAATTCAGTGATTATGTAGGATAGCATATGTATTGTTTTCTTCTTAAACCTTCATCAGGTTCATGTAGGTTATACATAAAAAACAGAGATTCCCTGTTCTTCAGCATTTCTGTAGTTGGAACAGTCCATGAACTGAGTTTAAATGACATGCTTTTTTTTGTTCCCTGAGGCTTCATTCTTTCAGTTATTTCACAAAATTATAGGTAGGCTGAACTCTTCTATGTTAATTATTTTATCAGTTTCCAGTGTGGCATTTAATATCAGGTAGTTTTCTTATGGCCATCTTATGTGTGCATTTTTTATTTATTTATTTATTTTTGCTATTTTGGAGGATATTTTCAGAACACTCATTCTTTAAGAGTCTGTTTAAATGTGTTGCTTATTTTTAATTAACTATTGTTCTCTCTTAGAACATTTGACGACAGCTACTTATGCTGTTAAATACATAACTGAAGGCTGCTCAGATACTTCAGATTAACATATTATAATAACCAAAATGAGGCATACTGAAATAATGTGTGGTTTTGGAGATTAATACTGTCTCACCAGTGGAGATTTAGTGCTGAAGAATAGGCTTTAGACTGGAGAAGCTTTTAAGCAAATGCGATATTTTCAGACATTTCTTTTTTTAGAACACTAGGAAAACCTGCAAACAGAATTAGTTTGAAACAGGAATGCCCTTCAGAGTTTACTCAAGCCATCAGAAATTCTTTAATGTTTTCTCAATTTTTGTTAAGTTTACCAGCTACGTTATAATATTTTAAGGTAACAAATTAAACAAAGTTTTAACTTCTTATGGTTATATCTGCTGTTTTCAGGGTGAAACTGGAATGGAAGGATCAAAAGGAAGTAAGGTATGTTTTGACCTATACACACTATATATACATCACTGGTGTGCAGAGGGAAACATAACAATAAATTTGGATATTTTTATTTTCTCAAACAATATCATTAGGGTGAAACAGGAGACCCTGGACCACCTGGTCTGACTGGAAATCCAGGATCAAAGGTAGGCGAAAGATATATTTGTGGAATTAACAGACATTGCATTCTATGCTGTTATATAAGCTACATATAGTATTTAAGTATTTAAGGGTTAGTATTTAAGTATTTAAGGGCTAGTATTTAAGGGCTGAGAGTGCTTATAGTTATATCAAAATTTTGTGCATGGATTATTATTTTTTTTTTTTGCTTTTAGTTCGTAAAATTCTTGTTGATCTCAGGATAACTCAGCAAGAAATATTTATGCAAAGCCTAAATATTATATGATCATTCAATGATATGAGCATCCATTTTGCAATTACAAATCCACCAGTAGCTGGGTGTATTCTTTATTCACCAGTGAGTAACCACTGCCAATTCATGAGTGGTTCCTGTGTTTAATCCTATAGTATTGCAGGTAATGCCAGAGTAGTCATCGCCTTGCTTTGAAGAAAGCAAGTGTAAGAAGAAATGTTCTTTGAGAATTTCACATGATGCCTTGAATTTTCTCAAATAATGGTAGAACTGGAAACAGGGAAAATACAACCTCCACCCAACAGTATTCCTGTTGAAATCATAGTACTTGGGTTCCTGAGATCATCAAAGAAAGTCCAGGAATTAATAGATGCAGCTACAGGGTCCACGAAACTGTGGTCTTAAAAATTATTTTCCACTCTTAATTCCTTAGACTGCTCTTTGGTGGCTAATGTCTTTGGTAGGAGCTACTGAGATAATGGCCGTTATTGCAGTGAAAACCTAAGTCATCTTCACAATGTACACCTTCAAGAAGAGGCTCATAGAGACCCAAGGATCATTAGGGTTTGCACCAACTCATCCTTCTATCTCTACATCTCAATCCCCCTTTCTTTCCAGTGTTCTGGACTCCTTTTAATGGGAAGTATTCCAAAAAGAGAAGTAGCACAAACCATGTAGTTAAAAAAAAAAAAAATCACGTCTACATCTGTCCCTTAAGGGAGAAAATCTTGATTTACTCCTTTTCTTTTGTCTTTCCCTTTAGACAGTTCCTTTGTATTACTTGTACTTGATTTGTATACATATTTTGGATTTTGTATTTATCAGTCCCAAAGATTTATTGGACTAAACATTAGATTAAGGGAGAATGACAAACTCTGTACTTCCTACTCCATGCAGAAGACAATTATTAATGCCAGATGTTGTCATCTATTTATATATGAGAACACTTTACACTGAATTACGGTGGTTGTATTGACTTTTACCTCGAGCATGTGTTATTTCACAGGGGCTACAAGGACCTCCAGGACCTGTGGGACCTAGGGGACTGCCAGGAGAAGTTGTACGTATTGAGCAGTTTCACCAAGCTGTAGAAATGTAGTGTGTGAGTTGTTAGCCAGTGAAGCAGTACCTCGCAAGTTATCATAGGTGCTCCTTTTGTGAGTGCTATGGTAGCAATCATGTATGGAAGTAGTGTGGGATACCACAGGACAGGGTTCTGCCTATTTCTTTTGTTCTCTTTCTCCTTGTGTTACTATCTGAGCAGGTAAGAATGATAATACTAATTTATCTGATTCACAGATAATTAGCTTTGCAAAAAATTACCCTGATCTCACAGCAGTAGGTGAAAGCTTAAAAAACATCTCTAGCAAAGATTTAATAATGTTACACCATGAGCTGGAAAGGATAGTGTGTTTGGAGGGAAATGCGAAGAAACAGGGAAAGTAAGTGTACCCCAAGGATTTAAACCCATGACCTTCCTTATTTCTGCCTATGGTTTTGTATTATTCTGAATTGGTTTACTTCCTAAAAAAGAGGTAAAGATTAATAAGGTGAAAAGGATAAACAATTATGTTTATTATGTTATAATTTAGGTAAGATTTACAAGCAAAACTCATATTCAGAACAAGATGTAATTCTGCTAAAAATAGGGACAATATTAAAGACTTTGGCAGGAGTAGCATTGTTTGAAAAGAATTTAATAGAAAACTTGCTTCTTAATTACTGTTCAGTAAAATAAATTATTAAAATACAACACAAACCAAGACAACTTGATGCCCACTCATCCCAGGTAAGCAACAATCTCCCTGATGGAAAGGGAAGTCAGGATCCAATGAACACAGTGATAACAGGGGAATGAGAGAGTGAGATAATCAAGAACAGTAAAAGCTCTCACTTCAATTCTTCTTAAATACACCCCAATATTGAGATCCGCTAAATGTTGTCAGATGGTGTCAGAAGCAGGATACAGATGGTTTATTGACCCATCAATTGAGATTATCAAGGCAGTGGAGTGTGCTCAGCAGAGTTTTAATGATCCTGCAGTTATTGTGCTTTTGGGTGCTCCACATTCAGGTTTTCCAAGTAGGTGGGTTTGTCAAGGTGACAGGGGCCTTCTTCATAAGGGTTTTAGTGAGCCTATGACCATTATGCTGCAGGGCAACAGACTGACAGGTCTAGATCCCTCAAAATGGTAGGGGCCTCCCTCAGGATCCAGCACGCCTGTACCCCTTGTGCCTCTGAGCAGGAAGAGCACAGGTGAAACTTCAATCTAGTCTGAATACTCCAGGAAGCATCTTAAACTATTAGGCACTCTTGTACTAAGCTTGAAAGTTCCCTGGGCATTTAACTTGACACTGTAATATAGCAGGTCTTCGGAAGATAGCTGCCTGTCTTCCTTCCAAATTATGGGTCAGTCCCTTTTTAGGTATGCAGGCAACTATGTTCTGCCTAATCCCCCTTGCAAACTGAAATTAGTTTTCAGTCCACAACACTGGTGTTGTCACATAACCTGACAAGTGGCATCTACTCCCTCTCCCTGGTTCACCTCCCTCCCTCCATAAACCATAAAATGGTTTTTAAGTACCATTTTGGAAGTTTGAGTGGTTGGATCTAAGAAGTGAACCACAGAAGCAGACAATAGCAAGCTTGGCTTTAGCTTAGAAGTTCAACCATTTAACTGAAATCAGATTTTGATCTTTGCTCTGTGGGTTGGTTTTGGTTTTTGTTTTTTCTAGAAAAAGAAGCATCTAGGAGGTGGAGTTGCTGCATTTTGTCTTAGGCCTTTCCATACATGCTCTGAGACTACTTTGTGTGGAAAAGAACCTTTAATTTGAACAGACTTTTAAACCATATACATTATTAATATTAAAGTACAGTTCTGAGTGGTACAACTGGCAGATTTTTATTGTTGACGTGTTAAAAGTCTTAGGGGTATAAGCAGTGACAACTGGAGTACATCATCTTCAGCTCTTGGCAGAGAAAAAAACTAGTCAAACTGAGCATTGCTTCACACCTTATTTTCATACTCAGTTGAGGCACACTTTTTTAAAATTGTGTCTAATATATCTGTAATATTGTCTTCCATGACAATATTTTGTAAGCCTTTTCTGCTGTTTCTCTTTATAGATAGATCCCAAATCTTACTGTGAGAGATAACAAAATACTGCATTTATGTTTTGCTTGTTTTTCCGTTATCCTGCTTGAGTTCATAATTGCTGCTTTTGAAACTGCTGTTCTGCTGCATCTTAGACCAAGTGACATTATGACTAGATAATACTGCATATATGTAAATATCTTGAAAATTCATATTTGTACACACAATTCTAGTATATAAAAACATATATTTAAATATATTGCAGAAACATATATTTAGATCCAGGCCTGTTGTTTTGTTTCACCTTCTAAATATGAAATATCATGGATTAACAAATACAATTGATTTTATGCAGCTTGATGAAAATTATGAAAGGTTACCCATTCAGAAACAGGACTTTCCTTTCAAAAGAGACCCCTTAATCTTGGTCTAAGAAAACAAAAAAAAAAATCAGAAAAATCCTTAGGAAAGAAGATAGGCAGTAGGTATTTTATGTCACTGTCAAAATAAGGTAAGGTAGGACACAGTGTCAGATCCATAATCAGTAAATTTTAACTTCCATATATTCTCATAATGATTGTGTTTTGGCATAAACAGAATAGTCTTCATTAAGGTACTTGTGTTTTCTTTTTTTCTTATACTCTTAATTTGGATGGCTGGGTAAAAGTAGTTGTCTGTATTAAGGACAGAATACAGTGGAGCAAGTGAACACACAGCTGCTGAACCTTCACTACTGGCATGAAAATGTTGTCATCCTTCATATGTCAGTGTTCACAAAACCATATTTAACACTGCGTAGAAAAATAGAAGCCATATGTATTTTTTATATTGTTCTTAGTTCTTTTTTCCTTCTGGATTAAGTATCATACTCAGATTTTGCTGTTCAGTTTTGGCGATTTTCTCATTTACTGTGGAAATGACTAGTATTCTTAACAAAATGCTTGATATAATATTTGGTTGAATAGCATTGATGTGTTATGGAAAACGTTTTCTGCATTTGTCATGCTGTAGTAAGGGAACACAATTTAGCCTTCTCTATTATTTAAATAGCTTCTATTTAGATTTTAATCTATTCCACTTATCTGCATTTATAAGAAATCCATCATGAAAATGCTAAAGTTAAAATCAAAATGTGAAAAATTAAAGATCTGGACAAAAGAAAGGATTGAATATTTTCATTTTGCTGAAAGGGAATTTGGTGGATTTAGTGATGCGCAGGAGTAGGAATTCATTGAGGGTTTTAAGATACAAAATTGAGTAATTACTGAAGAAAATCACGCAGCCCTTCACAGGCAAAAAGGATGACACACTTATTTAAAACTCAAGTTTGTCCCTGCTACCACCTTCCTTGAAAAAAAATGGATGATTTTCAAGGCTTGGAATTATTTTTAAATTGAAAAAATAAAGGTGTCAGTTTCTGCCATTCTGCCCTGATATGGTCCAGAAAATAATCTTGGTTTTTCAACTTAAAGAAAAATGGTACGTATATTGGATTAAAGAAGCATTCATTAACTTCTACTTTTTAACATTTTGGGGCAATACTAATGCACAGTAAATAATCCAATATATAATTGTATTTTCATTGATTCCAGGGCTTACCAGGAGAGCATGGGGTACCAGGAAGCCCAGGTGTTAAAGGAGACAAGGTATGTTCTAAGTGCCTTTTATTAAGCTTGATGTGCTAAAGCATATTAGACTGTCATCTCTGAAGTAACCTTCCATCTTCTGTAGCACATCTGTGTGGCTGCTTTATGAACTGGTTTTAAATTGTACAAGTAGCAACCCCGTCTCTGCTCCTCGGAGGTGCTACAGGCCAGTCAGGCAACCCAATTGCTGTTCAGATTCACAATTTTCATAATATTTCAAGGCTGTTACATTAAATCTGTGAGTGTAGAAATGTCAGTTCAGGTCCTAACCACAGAACAGCCTTTTCAGTGCAGTGTTCTAACCAGACTATTCTGTAAAACCCCACTTCAGAATCAGACATATTCATCTCGGCAGACCACTGAGGCAGCTATACTGTCTCAGACGTGAGCCAAGGCTGGGATCTCTTTATGGCATTTATATTTTGATGGGTAGAAATTCCTTCATTTTAATTCAGCCACACCAGCAAGAGTTAAAAATTGTATGTATAATATGTTGAATGTAAGAAAAAGGGAAGAAAACCAGGTACCCAGGCATATTGTGTGATGTGTTATGATATTTACGCATTGTGGGTACAAGAGAAACTAATAAAATCCCTTAATAGTTTGAAGAAGTGAGCTGATGAAAAGGCAGGAGAAGCAAATAACTGGAACAATGAGCAAAATGTCTTGCAAATGTGAAATAGTGTATTCAAAAAGAATCACAGAGAATGATACAAGAGCATGCAAAAGACAAAAGGACAGCATAATAAAAGGCACAAAATCACCTGTGTGAAGGAGGAGTTGTAGAGATGGGCAGCAGGAGATGCTGCATGCATTGAAGTAAATAGAGATGCAAACAGGAATACAACTGATGACCAGGATTTTAGCACTAGAGAGATATAGCTGGAGAAAGAGTCTGAAGCTGTTACTATTAATTGACAGGATTTAATGACAATTTGTGCACTGGGGGCATGGGGGCAAAGAAATGTAGATCAGATGCACTGCAGGCAAGAAAAACTGAGAGAATAGTAGTTACTATTAGTGGTTGTGTGGTCTGTGCCTCCTCTAAGTTTTGGCAGAAAAATATGTGTCTTTTTTTTTTCTCTGTTTCTTCTCACAGTAGTAGTACTTTCTAGGATAACCTTGACAATATTTAGAGGTTTTACATAAGAGAAAATTCTCTCATTTCAATTAGAGATTCAAATTTATCTTGTAGGGGGACCCTGGTGGGATTATGGGACCACCTGGACACCCAGGTCCTAAAGGTGATGTGGGACCTCCTGGGCCAAGTCTGCCTGGAACACCAGTAAGTCCATAACCTGAAAGGGCTATTATGACAATTTCTTATAGGGACAACTGTTAAAGAATTCTCATTGTGCAATGGAAGAAATCAGAACAATTAATTTTCTTTAATGTAATTTCAAAATTGAAGCACACATTATAATGGTAGTTGTAAATGCAATGAAATATAGTCTAGAAATAGTGCAAGGCGCATACGTGTTCCTAGTGACACTGGTATTAATGAGGAAAATACATGCAAATATTTCATAATTTATTTATAAAGGCTGACTAATTTTGGCAGTAAAATTCAGCTGGTCTCTGATTTCAAAACATAATTTGTGTTTTTTCCCTGCAGTTTTTATTTTTTTATTTTTTTATTATTTTTTTTAGGGTCCCACTGGTATTCCTGGAAACCCAGGTCCACGGGGACCAAAGGTATAACAAATAAATATGTTATTTCTGTTTCTAAAAAAAAGAAAACCAAAAAAGATAATATGCTAGTTTACATTTTCATAACTTTTGTAATTGAAAGCTTTGTACCCTTCTCAGGGAGAAAGAGGACTACCTGGTGTCCAAGGAGCACCTGGGGAGATGGGGCCCCCTGGAATAGGCATTCAGGGATCACCAGTAAGTATATCCCCACCCAGGATTTTGACTTCTCACTGTGCATTGCTGAGAAACTGCAACGATTAAACAAAGCATAGTAGAAATCCATGCCGTGAACTCCCTACTGACTCAGCTCTCAACTCAGCATCTTTTCCCTTTATCTAGACCCAGAAAGATTTAGAGCTAAGTGAGAAATCAAAGCCTTGGAGAACTGAAAGAGTCGTTGACTACTTTACAGATGAGCTTTCTAGGGATGGTGTTCACACATCTTCAGACTGTGTCAGTTTCCAAGCAACAGCTGTTTGCGGTTGTCAGCAAAATCTAGCCTGAGTACTGGTACAAGAGAAGGGGTATGCTTGACATTGGAGACAATGGCTTTTTGAAATCCATGCTGGTACTGGAAGACATAAAGATATGGAAAAGCTGTGGAAGGCTTTGGCTTTGCATCAGCTCCTAGCTTTTGCATTTGTGATGACTGCTAATTACAAGATTAGATTCTACTACTTATAAATGAGAACCTTACAGTGCCAGGTACTGCGCCAGGAAATAATAAAGTCCTGATTTTGCACAGCTTGCTTCTCACATTTCTGTGCAATTTAAATGTAAATGTGAAGTCAATGCAGTCTATCTAGAGCTTTCATACTGAACACCTTGTATAGCAATAACTATTTCACAGTTTCTTTCTCAAGTTTGTTTCTGTTGCCTTTAAATAAAGCCATCTGCAGTATCTTAAGAGTATTCAGTAAAAAAAATTATAATACTGATGGATTAGATGACCGGTGGCATATATTATTATGTGAGTTCTACTGTGGTGAAGACGGCAATCTTTCTGCGGTCCAGGCCAATAGTCAGCTGATTCATTTCATTTTTTTGACAGGACTCAGGTACAGAGGGAGCTGACTAGATAAAGCTGACTAGAGGGTCACAATAAGATCTTAATCTAACATAGTAACCTTAAAAATTATTCAGTTAAAATATTTTCAAACCTGAATTTTTGAAATTATCCATTTGTATTCAAACAATCTTTTTAGTTATTATTATTCAGCTGAATATCAGCTTATCTTACAAAACTCCTAGCTAAATAGCAAGTTTCACCACAGATCAATATTCTTCGATATTACTTGCCCTTAAAAATGGACCTCAGCAAAATCTCAAATTCTCTAATTTTGGCAAAATTAGATTTGGATTCAAAACCAAACTTAGAGAAAATCTTCCTTGCAATGTGAACCAATTCCTCACCTTCAGTACTTTTTTTTTAATGTTGTTAATCTCCCTTATCTGAAAAAGTGTAACTATTGATTATTTGGAGTTTTCTTGCAGGGTCCTGTAGGTCCAGCTGGATCAGCAGGTATGCAGGTAAGATATACATTTGTTCTTTCTTATCAAAAAATTAATTAAGTTCAAGAAGTTTAGACTAAAAGAATTCTTAAATCCTAAATAATCTTTCCTGCTTTTAGGGCCCTAGAGGACCCCCAGGATTACCAGGAACTCCGGGTACCCCTGGTATTAACGTAAGTGACAGTTCTTTATATATATACTGCGAAAAGTAATGTGTCCCTTGTCAATGCTTTAAGGCCATCAAATTTTATCTTTGTTTCTAGGGTGCTCCAGGAAGAGATGGAAAGCCAGGACTACCAGGCCCTCCAGGTGACCCTGTACGTATACATAGAGAGCTTGTGCATAAGCTTTGGTGCAAATACTTTAAAGAGGTGACATAACCTAGCAAATCTAGACATTCAATTGTTTAATTTAAAAAAGGCAGATTTCTGGTTTTGGAAGGTAAACTTTTTGAGAAATACAGGAAAGCAGTTATGTTATATACCTTGGCCTCAAGAAAACTTTGAGTCTGTCCCCATGATGTTTTGATAAGCAAGCAAAAGCTGTTTTTGAAGTAATTGCCATATAGTTGATGATTACCAAAATATATTATAGGAGTGTCTATCACCAGATTACTGTCAATTTTGGAAAGAGAGGTCTCTAACATGCTTAGTTCTTGTCAGTGATTTGATTAGGAAAAGTAGATGTAAAATCTGCGATTGAACTGGGAAAGATTGCTAGCGTTTTGAAGATACAATCAAAACTTAATATTCAGGGACAGTCTGAAGTCAACAAGATTAAACACGAGAAAATGAGCATAAAGTGCTTGATAAGAAAAAAACAAAATCCTTTGGAAGACATAGTGCACTGCAAATTAAATGTAAGTGAATAACTGATGCCACTGCTAAACAGGCAGGTCTGCTAACAGGAGAATTATTTCCTTTTGCCCTCTTCAAATACTCTTCTCTTTGGAGAGAACGTTTTTAAAGAAAGATGTAGCCTGCAAGAGTAAGCCAGAGAGTTAAGGCCATTTTAACACTTTCAGAAGGCCAGCATATATCAGAGAATACATAATTACATTAGATTTTCATTCTGTATATAAAATGTCTTCAACTAATTCTTCTTTCTTTATTATTATTATTAAAATTATTTTATTTCATGTGTTCCCTGATATATGTCATTACTCGGAGTTCAGCATATGCAACTACGAATCTACAGTATGTTTGCAGCTAGGCTGGACTTGCTGTATATACAGAGCAGATGAACTGTACAGCACAAACGTGGTAGGCTTGCTCTCATACCTGGTTTGCCCTTGCAGCTGGATGTTAGGGCCTTTTCACATTAAGGGCTTGGGGGGCTGTAACATAGAATGGTACTGTAGCTAAAATAAGAATGTTAGAAACAAAGAGAGACTGGGGAAACGTTTGTGTAGTTCAGCAGAAAGCCAAACAGGGAATATAGTTATAACCTGCCTATCTGTAAAATGTCACAAGGAGAAGGATGAAAAGTCAGGCCCTATAGAGATGTTGTTGTTATTTTTAAGCCTTGTTACATGTTTTTAAGAGCAGGTGATGCTGTCTGTGTACAGATTACCTTTATGCAGAGGATGGACTTCATACCTTTACATAGTTATGTCCTTAAGTTGTATTAGGTGGCTGTCTCACCATAGAAAACTTGGTATAGTTTCAAAGGTGCCGATGCTACCTGTAAATGGCGAACTTATGGTTAAACATGTTCAGCAGTGTTTCTCTCGACCTTGTGTTTGATACCCGTTGCCACCAACTGACAGTCCAACAGGTTTTTTACATTTGCTACAAAAGTGCTCACTTTTTACTTTGTTCTTCAAGATAGAAATGACTGAAACAGACTGAACAATTAATAAATTTTGGATGTGTCTAGTTTTATAGTATGCCCAGGGCTATTTTTGCTTCAGCATTTACAAGAAGAAATGAACATTGGTAATTGAAGAGTCCATTTGTGAGTGAAGCTGATACCCAGTGCAATCAATTTTTAAAGGAAGTCTTTAAATATAAGTTTAATGGCAGCTCTTGGAAATCCAAAATATATTGCAGTGAACTGTAAATCTGTTGATTGAGCTTCAAATAGGTTATCTTTAGTATTGGTAGCAATTTAGCTATGGCACCACAGAGTGGTGTAGCTCGATTATTTCTGATAGCTGAGTTAGTTTATTGAAGTTAGCTTTGGCATCTCCCCATTTTGTGCTACAGTTCACAGTAGAGTCAAAGCCTAGGAGAAAGGAGAATTAGAACATTTGAAGATAATCAGGTGAGAATAGTCTGTGAGACTTCCCAGTAGTGGTAAATTGTTGATGGTATGCTACATAATAATATATTAATACTACTTCTAAATTAAATTTACTGTGTTCTAGAGATGCACTATTGTCATGCTTTAAGGAGCTTGATTGAAGTTGATTGAAGTTATAATAAGAATGTGTCTCCCTCAAGTGTGCACATTGTTAGGTTGGATAGAGAGCAATATTTAACTATATTTGGAACCCTTATTTTTCTTTTACATTTGTATAAAAATGCGCTTCAGCCAATATATATATATAACCAGTTATGTGTATAACAGTATAAAGTTTAGAAGCAATGAGAACCCATCAGAGTTGGTAGCATTCTATAAAACATGAACTGTGGCTTCCTTTTTTAATTTCAGATTGCACTGCCACTTGTGGGAGATATGGGTGCTATACTGAAGGTAAACATTTTCAGATATAAATAAATATTTTTTTTTACTATAAGCATGCTTTTTAAACCAGAGTATGCACTTGAGAGTTTGGATATGTTCAGTTTTGACCTACTGAGCTAGCCTAAATTAATATTGAGGTTTTATTGATTTTTTAATTATTTATTTAAAAATACTCAAAAAATGTATTTTATAGGAATTTCATAAAATAGCATTTGAATGGTACATGAGGCCATGTACTAGGTATGAAGTGCCAGCAGATATGAGTAGCCAGCAGGTGCCTGTTCAGCACATCCAATCCACAGTATGAATTGCTACAGGTATACCTCATTCTTTGTTTTACTTTGTAGCGTTAATATTGGTAATATATCAAGTGGAGAAAATAGTCTAGAATTTCTAAGGTATTACTTTTAAAATAATAAAATTTGAAGTGATCTTCAGTATTCCCAAATTAAAAGTGTGATCAGGAGGATTTCAATATGAAAAGCGTGGATCATTTCCTAGAAAAGTGATCAACCTATTCTACCATCCTTTATTAATACACGTACTTAGGTTTTATTGACCTTCTCATTTATAAATTTGATTTAAGTTTAGGTCTGTCTTTCATTTTTCCCCCTGATTGTCAGTACTCTCTCTTAACAGTTCTTTTCCTTATGCTTCATTCTTCATTACTCAGTGTTTTGTGGTTAGCATCTCTGTAAGATTTGCTGCAAAATGCTTCTTTCAACAAACCAGATATCATTTACTTTAAAGTAACTATACATTTAAAGCTGGTGAGAGCAACAAGTATACTTATCCTACCTGATCCTTAAAAGGGAGAAGATTTGGTCTTCCCAAACACAGGCATGTCTGGGACTACTCAGATCAGTCATTTATGAGTCCTCTCAAAATGCATTTGTTAGCATAGTTTCAGTAGAGTGTGTGAGAGACGGGGAGGGAAAAAAGTATATAGTGTAGAAGAGATAAAGGACTGAAGGTAAAGCTTTGATGTAGAATGATTGGATGGTCAGAAAGGCGGGAAGGAAGCAGTCTGTCAGACCTTCTGCCTATGTCATAAAAACGGTTATTTTTCACTTTGCTTTCTATGTGTCCCTCAGGGTGATCCTGGCACAAGAGGTCCTCCAGGCATCCCTGGTAGAGAAGGGCCAAAGGTAAGTTTTGAAGAGTGTTTCACATTGCTTTGTTAGTTATTAAAAGGCCAGACTCTTACCCCTGACAGCCTTGACTTTTTTGTCTGAATCCTATCCCTGTGGCATCTGAGCAGCTTAAAGGTTATTTTAACTGTTCAGCCCTCTTCCTATGTCACTTCAGCTTTCCTTTCAGGAAAGTGAGCAAAATAGCCTGAATGGAGTCCCACACCACGGTAACTTTTCTCTGTCTTGCATCCATTAAAGCTAGCTCAAATTTGACTGTTCATTAGTGCATTGCTATCTACAGGATTATTTTAGGTGACTCAGGCAGGCAAGAATCCAGCAGTGAAGAAAACCACCTGTGTCTCTTTCAAGTGTGCAACATCTGGACCACCCTTTGCCTTTGCCCCATATTCCAGTGGGATTAGCACAACTGTTTTTCTGAGACTTGAAGTTCCACTGATGCCAATCAAAATTCTGCTTCACTGTAACTGGATCAAGTACTACATGGGGCATATAGATATCTCCTACAGTTGAGCCTAATTGCATGAAAGTGTTGTTCTCTGTTTTGGGAAACATTTAAGTTCTTTGCTATTACTTATATGTCTGCTCTTGGCTAGTTTGCCTATTAGGAAATGAACCACACGTTGCCTTTCACCTTGATGGAAGGCATATTCTAAAGATTTCAGGTAGTATTGAGCATTTTTATCTGTTTAAGCACTATTGTTATAAGGGCTTTATGTATTAAATGCAGGGCATAAAATGCCCTAGAGAGCATGAAATTCATTGTTTGCTAATAGAAAGTATTTGTTTGAATGTTACATTTTCATAGGGAAGCAAAGGTGAACGTGGATTTCCTGGGCTTGCTGGAGAGAAAGGTGATGAGGTAAAGTTATTTCATTTTTATAATGGTTGCATTCTTATCTGAACCTGAATGAAGATTGAGACTGACAGTGAAATGTACAGTGTTATTCAATTCTTTAAAACTGCTGAGATACTAATGTATTGCTCTAAATACATTCTGAATTTTCAACAAGATTAATCGGCTGAGAAAGTTGGGGCTGTTCAGCCTGGAGAAGAGAAGGCTGTGTGGAGACCTCATAGCAGCCTTCCAGTACTGAAGGGGGCCTATACGGATGCTGGGGAGGGACTCTTCATTAGGGACTGTAGTGATAGGACAAGGGGTAATGGGTTAAAACTTAAACAGGGGAAGTTTAGATTGGAGGAAATTCTTTCCTGTTAGGGTGGTGAGGCACTGGAATAGGTTGCCCAGGGAGGCTGTGAATGCTCCATCCCTGGCAGTGTTCAAAGCCAGGTTGGACGAGGCCTTGGGTGATATGGTTTAGAGCGAGGTGTCCCTGCCCATGGCAGGGGGGTTGGAACTTGATGATCTTAAGGTCCTTTCCAACCCTAACTGTTGTATGATTCTATGATTCTATGATTCAATTAAATAACATCAGTTTAATTTTTGTCTGAGGATTCTTGCTCATTTGTGTATTATAAAGCCTCACATACATGTAAATGCTTATTTTTAAGAGTGTAGCATAGAGCAATAAATAGACAAATGCCAAATGTTTTCAGAAAATACTTCATGTTTTATAACTTATTTGCTTATATTGTGCTAGTTCCCCTTTAGAATTCATTTTCAAAAACTTTCCATTAGGCAAATACTGTGATGGGAACGGTTGTAGCAGCCATTACTACTAAGTGGAAACTGGAAAATATTTGAAGAGACTGAATTTAAAATATTTACAGTATTTTCCATCATATGGTGTATTCTTGGAGTTATTTTTATGTTGTTGTGAAGAAGGGAAAAAGTTATGTCACTTGTGGTGCTAAATCCAAAATAGCTGCTGTACTTTCAATTTTAAATTGAAATATTTGCAATTAACAAGAGCAGTCTCTGTCAATAAATAAATAAATAAAAATTAATCACCTAAGCAGAAGCTATTAAAGAAATTAATCCAACTAAATACATTAATTTTGAATAAATTTCAGGATCTTTGGTTTTCAAAAGTAAATAGTTAAATGAGTAAAAAAACAAAGATGTGGCAGAATCATTAAATATGTATTCCTGCTAGTGCTCTGCCCCAGAATTTAGAAGACTATCAGCCTAAAGTGTCAGGCTTATTTTTCCTTTTATTTTTACACAATCGATACAGCTCATTCTGTCTTTGTTTCTTAAAAGCAAGTGACTCCTGAATTTGGATTTAGAACATGTACCTTAAAATGATGGTGAAGGCTACAAGTAAAGCACAAGCAGAATTTTACTTTAAAAATAAATAGGAATGAAACACATCCTTTGTTTGCCCTACATGGTACTTGTGGAGTTCAACCCTAGCAAGTCTGAGGCATTATCAAAGCAGTTTCAACAATTTAGATACTATTTAACTGCTGGGAACCAAGTGAAACATTAAGGCAATTAAGAATGTAATAAGGAAAAGTCATGATTATAACTGGCAGTTAGTTTTTTTAAAAGGACTCCAGAGTAAATAAATTCCAATCATTTTTTTTTTATTATTATTGATTCAGCAGCGTGCCATACTGTGTTAGTAAGTTTCCATTTACATGCTTCTTCAGTTTGATAGTTGGTTAGCTGCTTAGGTCTACGTTTTCAGTGTTTAGCAGCAGCTTTTGATTATGAGATTATGAGAGTGCAAGCGAATTTATTTTCAGAAAAAATGAAAGAGTTTCTGAAGTTTAAAGGTAACCTTTTTCTACAAATTTATGAATTTTATTCTCATTTTTATGATTTAGTTAACATGGGAATGGGAAGAGAGATTGAGAAGCCCACCTGAAACTCTTTGAAATACGTTCATTAGCTTCCATGTGCTTTTGAATAGCCCTTTAATCTTTGTTGAAACTTAGTTCTCTTCCTTTTTAAAAGATTCATTTCTCCAGGGGAGGATTTTTCTAACATCAGTGGTAAGAATTACAGAAAATGTTCCTTTGGCTTCATATTCATTTTTCAGGTGACTGTATCATCACAGTTAAGTAACTCAAAATGAGCAGTTGGATTGCCAATCTGAAAAGGTGCAGAGGTGGACCAATGTCCTCTATGTGTAGCAGCAAGAAAAGGAAATTAATGTCTCTCCATCTCTGCATCTTTCCTGATTTATTTCTGCCTGAAGTTTTTCCTTCAGTATCTCCCTCAGAGCTCTTATTTCAGGACTTGTGTCCTCTCTGGTTTTCCAGACTACCCCTTTAGCTGTGCCTTCTTAAACACTGCATTTAATATAAGGAGAAGACCTTTTCTGATGTCACTCCTCTTGTCAGAGTGTAGGCACTCTGTGCAGATAAACTGAACCACTGTTTGGAAGGGACTAATTTCCCTTTGTGACTTATAGGGGTCACCGAAAGTGATTAGCTGTCATTAGTACGTGACCTGTACCTGCCTAAAATTGCATCTAAGCCTGGTGTGGTAGAAGAAAGACTTAAGTGACATGCAGGCTTGTCTCCAATCCTAGCTGTATCCACTGTAGTAAGCTGCACACCTGTATGTTTAGTAAGTGGATACCAGAACCCATCAATTTCCAGACAGCTGAATACAAAAAGATCAGGAAAGTATTTCATTAAATACTATGAAAAACGTCATGTTCTGTTATCTAAAAGGCAAAAGCTATAAATCAAGCAGAAAGCACCTTTGCATTTAGATACCATTAAGTAAAATTGAGAAAGCTGAGTATTTGTCTTCTCGCCAGAAAAAAAAAAAAAAAAAAACCTTTCATGATAGAAAATAGAAAACTATTCTCTAAGAAAAAAAAAAAAGATGTTATTTTCTGCACAATTAAAGACAAAATGATACAGAGGACATGAGCTAACCATGTGAAAGATTGAAGGACAAGTGTTGTCAGTCAAGCAAGAAGCTGCCTCTAGCATTGTTCAATGATAATCTCTTCTTTGCATGGTGGGGTTGACTTTTTTCATTCCTAAAAATACTGCCAACCTTTTAGATAAAAGTGTGCTTTAGTATAGTTTATAGTACTGCTAAACATGCTGGATATAAGTAGCTTCCAAGTAGTAAGTGGGAGAGGAAGTCCTCATATGCTCTTTTAATTTCCAGGGCCTTCAAGGTGCTCCTGGACTGCCAGGCATTCCAGGACCCAGTGGACCTTCTGTAAGTATGAGATATCACCTGTGATCTAACCTATCTCTGCAGAGGTTTCTGTAGCTATCTAGTAAAACTTCACATTCTTAGCTCCTTGTCCTGTCTTTTGGCTTTTCAGATAGTAATAATACAATCTTGCCCATAGTGGTTCTAATAAAAGAAACTATGTTGTGAGTTGATGTTACTAAAAATACTGTCATTGTCTGGGCTCAAAGTTTATGTAACTTAAATGGGCTTGGAGTATTGGCATTACTAGAGACTCTGTGAAGTTAAATGACTTATGATGTGCATACTTGCAGTTAATGATGTATTTGTACCAAGTTACAGTAATATTGTTAGTAATAAAAATCTAAAAATAATTCCAGCTAGGCATTCTGAAAACATTTAATGTTGAAACCAAGTAATCAGTTGGTTTCATAACTGCAGAAGTATAAGAATAAGCTAGAAATATTTCAAGTCACCAAAAACTATAATTAAAAATGTTGATATTTCTGGGAAAACTACTTTTGAAGGTTTTTTTTAACTTTATTTTTGACATATTGGACGGGGTTACGTTAGTCTGATCATTATGATTATATGAATTTCTAGGTTGCTGATGATACTGAGGCTTCCCTGCTTTTAAAAATTGTAACCCATTTAGGAATTTTAATGTGCAATATGTAAATTGACATTTCAGCAGTAAAATATGATTCTTAGCAGTATTGAAAGGTCCTATTAAGGTAGTGCATTTAGTCTGCAAAGGTGAAAATGCAACTGCAAACACAAGTTTTATCCTTCAAAGGGCTAATCAAAAGGACACAGCTGTGGTATCAAACAGAAGAGAACTACTTAAGCCTGGAGGAGAAGCATAGTTAAATTTAAATGACCTTCAAGGAGTAAAAGATTTAAAAACTGAGCTCTGATGCAAAAATACTGTGTTTCATTGTTTCTTAACTAATATAACCAATACTGAATTGTGCAGGGAGTCACAGGAAGACCTGGACATCCCGGGCCAGCAGGGTCAAAAGGCGAAAAGGTATTCCTGCTTTCTAGTCTTGGCAAAAATCTATGCAGGTTCTGCAATCCCATTATACTCCAATGTTTTTGGGTTTTTTTTTAATATAGAGTGCAAACAAGAGCTTGATGTATGTTTTCAAATTAATTTTTATTTGTGTCCTAATGCAAGTGCTTTTCCCCCCCAAATGTACTATGGGCTTATATATTGAAGCATAGTCCTTGTGGTGTATGTAAGTTGCAGGGAATGTGCTCTAAGTATGACATACTATATAGAATTTAGGAAAGTGAAAATACATTTGTGAAATAGTATATTGACTGGTTACTACTCACTCTTCTTCTAATTCTTTTACCACTATTTTAGTCAAAAGTAATTACATAAAAGTGCTTCACAAGTACTGAAAGTTATTGAGTATAAGGTACTCTGCTAAAATACAGAACCTTCCTTTATACTTAATTTACACTCCTACAGCACTGCTTTTGGTCAGTGTTTTACGTGTTCTTTTATCAGGCACTGGATATTATTGATTATAACGAAGAGATCAAATTCATTCCTTAGGCACCTCAGATCAATGAAATGCAGCAGACACAAACTTAGTTTGTTGCAAAATATTTTCTGGCACAAGTTCTCCATTTTGCATATGAATACAGTTTTCTGATCTTTTTTTCAACTTCAGCCTGGATTTTCCAGGCATAGCACTGTCACATCAAGGTATACGATCCTACTAATATTCTACAAAACCTTATCTCTGGTATGAGTAACAAAGGAAATTATTTTGTAAAGCTCTGAAATTATTTCGGTATAGAAACTGATTGAAAGCTGTTTCCTTGCAGGCTATAATAGAAAACTTTACCACACATTTTCTTTTTGTGTAACCAGTTGGTTCCTTGTTTACAGTTCACACATAGGTGGGAATGACAAGCCACTGCTGTATAACTAGTGTCTCATCAATCAAAAAGGGCAGAAGTCAGATGGCTGAAGAGTGATGAAGTAAACTGAAATATAGTCAGAATCACTTGCTGCTTCTCCTTCATCTGATGAATATGTTTGAGAAATCATATAATATGCTTTCTAAATTAGAGTATTTTAATTTCCCATGAAGTACTCCAGATCACTCATGGAGGCTGATAGTTTCTATCCATTAGCAGGGCCATTTGGAAATTATCTTTGTATAAACATTTAATTACAGTTATATTCTTCTATGCATTTTTCCAGTGAGCTAATTATTGCTATTGAACATTTAGCTTGCCTTTTGCTACCCTAAGAATTTTGAATATGCAGCCTGAGTATCTCACTGAGTTATGTTTAATAAGGTGCAGTGAAGTCAGTGAAAAATTCTGGCAAATTTATTCCACATTATACAGTGTTTTTAACTGGATTGTAGAGATGAGACTTTGAAAAGATCTGGTTGGGGAAATTCGATGTCGAAACCTTTGCAACTCTGCACTGTTCAGAATCTCCACCATTCTGCTGGGGCAAAAACTCAGAAGCTTTTTTTTTTTTTTAATGTAAGAAGTAATTCAGTGCACATCAGCAGAACACACTGAGGATGCACAGATGAATATTCAAAAATAAAACCCCCAAGAAATATATTAATTGTATACCTAAATAAAGATCTTTATTTTCATTCAGTGTGTTCTAAATAAACTGAACTTCTGAAACTGTAGCTTTTTTGTATTTACCTGTGAATGATCAACCGAAGATTAGCTTTTGCAAAATAGTGGACAAAACATAAAATTTATGTTAACTTTTATCTACCAGTTGCTTAGAAATTTATACCTTTTCCCTTCCTCTGTCTCCTGGTGTTTGTGAAATGTTTCACAACCCAGGTTACCACTACTGTTTTGCCACAAGGAAGTTACTACAATAAAGCTTCAAGTAACGAACAAAATAAAAAACTTAAAGTAACAATTCCTAACTTTCCTAAAGCTTAAGTAGGAGCTGGGCAGGAAAATTTAGTCTTGATACTAGCTGCTCATATTGACTGTACCTCTTGTTTATTGTCATTATGGTCGTTATAGCTTGGGTATGGAATAGATCTGTACGTTAAGTTACAGTAAATGAGTTACGTGAATCTCTTGCTGTACTAGGGTAGTGAAGGTTCTCCTGGGCAACCTGGACCACCTGGGCCTCCGGTGAGATATTTTCTGGTTCATATTTTGAATGTTATACTAGGAACAATGCACCTGTGGGTAAAGTGTAACATAATAGAAAGAATTGACTGTCAATCTAATATGTATTAATAATGCAAGAAGACAAGTCTTTTTGGAAAAGGTTTCTGTAGTCTTTTTTCTTTGATTCATCAGGGAATAATTTCAGTTCAATAAAACCATCCTAGAAACTTAGTCAGTTGAGTTAACCTTAGTACTCAGTATTACTAGAGTAATTTATGCAGCTTGGGTACCTGAAATTAGGGAACTCAGGGAACCTAGAGAAAGTCCATGGAGCTCACTGGACTCCAAATTAACTGGAATAGTACCTAACACAAAATCAATTCTGGAGAATTAGGATAATAATAATATCAAAGTGTAACATCCACTGGGTTTACAGGTTGCTTGTTTTGTAATTTAAAAATAAGGCCCAAGCTCATCAGTATGTATCTTATGTTCTTGCTGAAGTGTCTAGAAGCCTTGAAAAGTTGTTTGAGAATGAAAATAATGCCACAGCTTTACTGAGCTAGAGGGCTTAAACAGGGCAAGAATTCTCTCTTTATAATTCATAGTTGTGATGCTTACTTGGTATTTATGTTTTAAAGGGTATGCCTTACAATGAAAGAAATGGAATGAGCAGCTTATATAAACTCCAGGTATTTCTCTTTAATATTTTTGTTTTCCAATCAATACCTCATTCTAGCCCAACTCAACTTTTAAACTTGCTGTTACAGGGAGGTGTGAGTGTTGCTAGTTATCCAGGCCCACCAGGACCTCCCGTAAGTATTAACAGAAAAATAATTTCTAATAGGTAATACCAAAAAATATCATCATATTGTGTGAATTTGGGTTTTTTTTAATTGTGTTTCCACTTCATTTATTTGCAGGGTCCCAAAGGAGATCCTGGCACAGTGGTATGTATGTATTTTTTGATCATGTTAGAGATCTCACCAAGTACTTTAACACAATTGTAGTCACAAGGGTAGAAGAGTCCCTTGATAGTGTTTAGCAGGTAGCTTACCTCCTGCAAAATCAGTTCATCTGAAAAAGCCTTTTTAATTTCCAGGCTTGTGAATTTTGTAATTTCTGGTTACAAGTTGTAAGTGATAATATAATGAATGACTGAACATAGTATTAACTACTTGTGGATTCATCTCTGCTGAGCTGTCCCTGGATATATCTAAGAATAAAGAATGTGAAATAAAAGTAGAAAATATCTTAAGAGCTATTAGATTGTTCTCAACATTAAATTTGAAAGCGGTAAGGGAGAAAGAACAGTGTGCTACATTATGGTAGCCAGTAACAACTAACAGTTAATGTTTTCTTTGTAAATGGCATGATGGTTAACTACAGTATGCTCACACTGCTTCTGGTGAGCAAGATGGTGATCATGGGAGCTCCTATACCCCTCAGATACGTGTTTTGGCATTCAAGAGCAGCTTAGTTTATCTTTTTGATATTTTTTTCCTGTAAGAGTTGTGTTATGTACTTTTCATGTGATCTGTCTGTAAACAATTATGGGGTGGAATGACAACTAGTGGAAGAATCTTGGGAAGTTGCATAGGGCTAACTGCCAGCAGAAGGTAGATCCAAATCTTGACTGAGTGTCCATTTTTCCCAAGGTCTTTGACATGTGTGTAACTTGGCTTTATAATAGAGAAACTATATTTGTCATTAGCTTGTGCCCTGTCACTATTGTTCATAACCTTCTAATCTACATTTTATACTGATTTCTCGCCTGGAGCATGTTTTTGCCACAGAAAAGCTTCAAGGCCTACACAGTGTCCTAGTCTGTGTGTCCCTTGCTGCAGAGTAAGCTTTTTTTAGGGAACAGAGCACAGAATTCCTTGGGGGTTGGTTCTCTGGTTGACAGTATATGATTACATGTTTGGACCCTACTGCCTGGAGGTGCTTTAGAGCTGACTGTGGCTTGCAAGAACACTGTGGGGAGTCTTCTGGATTACATTCTTCATCAAAATTAAAGCTGTTGAATCCAATATTCACACAGTGTCTCTGGGAAAAGCTTATATTTACAGATCACTAAAACAGGGCATAACAAAATCTGTTAACCTGGTAACTGGTTAGCTGTTTTACTAATGTCAAGTTAAATAATTTTTTTCTCAAAGTCTGCTGTTGCTTGTTGTTCAACGTTTCTCATGTAGAGTACAGAAATTCTAATGTATGCAATCTTTTTAATTGAAAAAATAATAATCAGGGAGACCCAGGACCAATGGGATTACCAGGACTGGAAGGACTCCCAGGGGAAAAGGTAGGACTCTTAAAAAGAAGTCATGGCTTCTTAGTGGCAATTATCTGCATCTAAATGTTTTCTGAAACCTTGTTTTTTGAATCTTTTTTTTGTGGTGTAAGTTACAGTTTCAGCTTGAAAAACCACTTGTATGTTTATCTGTATTTCCTTTTTTTGCTTTACTGTGGATCTAAATCACCGAACATAAAATTTCACTTTCTACAAATGGAAAATTGTGTGCAGGGGGTCTTGTAATATTTGATTTTCTTAACTTGATAGAATGCTACTGTATACTATATTATATGTAGTATATACTATATATAACTATATTACTTCATAGTAATATAGCTAACATGTTCCTAACTATGGTCACTACTTCATGTTCTCTAGACATTGTCTTAGGCTTACAGTCCATCTGTCTTGTTCAAAGAGTATAAATGGCAGTATAAGTTCAGATGAGTATAAAGATACAGAAAAGAGTTGAAATGGAGGGAGAGACCAGTTCCGTACAGTTCTTGTTGTATGAATCCTGCTTCAAATTGAGCAGAACACTCTTTTCTTGGACTGTTGTTCATTATTCTATAAAAGGGACCTTGTATTGTTTTTGCTCTTGTTGCGCACTTTACTGTGTGTATGATACCACTGTAGCACATCCTGAAATGTATCATATTCTGCACCTCCTTCCTGTGGTTCAAGTCTGTGTTCCAGAACTAGGAAATGTCCCTTTCCTTCAGTTGGTGGCATGTTTCAGCATTTCCCTTACTTTCACTGAAAGTGAACTTTCAGTAAGTTCACTTACTCCACTGGTTGTGGAGGCTGATATGAATTTAGAGAAAAGCTTGTCATGAAATGCTGAAAAATTCAAGATTTTGCTGTTCATTTCTAAATATGGCAAAGTACACAAAATCAGTGGAGAAATGAAAAAATCTGTATATATGTTTTCTGTCAGTGAAAGCAGACTTTGCCCATGGATTATAAATTTAAGAAAAAAAGTTTTTTTAATTGAATATTTATTCCGCTTTTTTAATTACATGTGTTTCAATGATTCATATGCAAATAGCTTCCTGAAACTTATTTTTCACCAAAAAACAATGTAAATTCAAATTTTCTCTCTCAAAATCACTGCACATTACTCCTACTTTTGCAGACTGGTGATTGAAAAGATCTAAAGTAGCTGTCTATACTAGATGTTACATGAGCTGATTCTTGCTCTGGAAGACTACAATTTACAAGCAGTTAAAGACTAATCTGATTTCAAATGAACAATCACAGTGAAATATTACTGGTTTAACTGAGACAAAGTGGGGACAAGAATTAAATAGAGAATAACCAATGGAGCAGATTATATAAACAAGCTTAGTGAGCGTTTGGCCGTTTTCCAAAATAAAAATATCTTTTCCTTAGCTAAATTGGTCACATTTCTGATGCAAATAAATGAACAGAGGCACAGGGTCTGCCTGCTAGCAGCCTAGTACATGCTGGTTTTTAATTTAGAGCTATTGGATACCTCTGTGTACCATCGTCCCCAGGCAGTACTGGCTGTAATTTCATGGTAATTTTGTGAACTGCCCTAAGGACTTTGTGTCCTTGGGGTAAAATTTCCTTTCCCTTAGCTATGCTGACGCAGTGGTTTGTGCAACCATGCTGCAACTCACATTGCTGGAAGGACCAAAATAACTCTTAAAAGACAAATGTTGCAAGGGAAGTGTTAGGAATTTGTAGCTCCACTGTCATAGCCAATATATAGGGAAAACACCACAATACAAATTCTGGGTCCTGAACAACCACAGGGATAGAATGCAGAGCTCCAGCCAGTATACCCTTGTAAATACACTCCATGCTCACGTGTTTTTGAGGTGCATGTTGTGTTTCTCACTGAGAGGTTGTTGTGGTTTAACCCCAGCCAGACAGCTTGTGCACTCACTCCCCCCCTTCTTACCCTCCCCCTACTCCTGGAGAATCAGAAAGAATCCAACTCCCACGGGTTGAGATAAGAACAATTTAGTAACTAAGGTATAACACAAATCACTACTGCTACCACCAATAATAATAATGATAAAGAAAATAACAAGGGAAGATAATACAACACCTCATCACCAGGCGACTGATAACTTGCCCCCCCAGCCCAACCAAGCACCGACCGGTACCTCCTCCAACCCTGCCGTCCACTCAGCTCTTCCGGGGAGCTCCCCGTTACCTCCTGGGCATGACGTGCTGTGGTATGGAATACCTCTTTGGTCAGTTTGGGTCAGGTGTCCTGTCTCTGCTTCCTCCCGGATTCCCCTCCTCCCTGGCAGAGCATGAGGCACACAAAGTCCTTGACCAAACCAAAACATCATTTTTATCAGCTCAGTTCCCAGGCCAAAAGTCAAAACACAGCACTGCACCAGCTATCAAGAAAGAAAAAAATGACTGCTACTGCTGAACCCAGGACAGAGGTGAACTTGCATTAAGTGTTTTCTGCTAGCCTACAGAGCAGGAGAGATTGAACTGTGGCCTGTAAGCTGCTGGCCAAGCTTCTCTTCCCAGGCACAAGATCAGACATTTAACTTACCATCTGTCTACTCTTTGTGTAATGGAGTTGAGTGTTCCCAATTACCAGCATTATCATTGCACTACCTGAACAAAATTATGAGAATGACACATCAGCATTAGTTATAAAAACAGAAACCAGAAATCCCAGCATCTGCTTGGGCTCTTCTGCACAGGTGAAGATGGCTGCTGTGGATGCAGCTGTGTTGGTGGAGTTTTTGCAAAACAGCTATAGGTAACATAAACTCATCTCATAAAATATTCTCCAGTTAGTATGGCTTTTCTGACTGCAGTGATAAGACAAAGGGGTAACAGGTTAAAACCTAAACAGGCAAAGTTTAGATTGGATATAAGGAAGAAGTTCTTTACTGCAAGGGTGGTGAGGCACTGCAATGGGCTGCCCAGGGAAGTTGTAAATGCTCCATCCTTGGTGGTGTTCAGGGCCAGGTTGGACAGAGCCTTGAGTGACATGGTTTAGCGTGAGGTGTCCCTGCCCATGGCAGGGGGGTTGGCACTAGATGATCTTGAGGTCCTTTCCAGCCCTAACTATTCTATGATTCTATGATTATAGAAACTAGGAGCATGATTTTTTTCTTAAATTTTAAGCAACGTTTCACTAGCAGAGTGTAGTGTTACAGTCCAAAACATGTCAGCAGTAGGTTCTGGCAAGTCATAGCATAGAATCATAAAATACCAAGTTGGAAAGGGACCTCAAGGATCATCTGGTCCACCCTTTAAAAGAAAATCTCACTGGGTAGGGTTTTACCACTGGTGAGGAACATCTGTCTGCTTTGGGTTATTGTTCTCTCAATAGAGAAATATGAATTTGTGCGCATAATTCATCAGCTCTAACACAAAAATCATTGTCTTAGCTTAAAACATAGATGAACGTAGTTTTTGGTGTGGTGGGTGTGTTTTGTTTGCTGGGAACAAGCTGTGTGTTTTGGTTTGGGGTTTGTGTTGTTGGGGGGGGGGGGGGGGGGTTGGGTTTTGTTGGGGTGGGGTGGGTGGGTGGGGGGTTGGGTGTTGTGTGGGGGGTTTGTGGTGTGGTTTGTTTTTTTTGTTTTTTTTTTTTTTTGGTGGGGTGTGTTTTGTTTTTGTTTTGTTTGTGGGGTTGTTGTCCTCGATAGGGGAGGGCAAGAAGGGGGGGAGTGGTGACAAGCTGTCTGGCTTGGTTAAAGGTAGTGTATGCTAGAAGGAGAAACTTTGCCCTGAAAGGACCATGACACAAGCAACTTGAAGATGTCAACTTGCAGGAAATGGAGGACCAAGTAGCATGGAGGCAAAACCTACATTGAAAGATACATCTTATATATGGGGATGTTGATAGGATAGTGAATTACCCTATGTGAATTCTGGACATTGTCATGATCACAAATTATAATTATTTGGAAAACTAGGGATAAGTCAGGGGCTTTCTGTCCCTTTTCAATGAAGGCCTCAAGCAGAGTATAAGAGAGATGGCATGGAAATTATGACATTACACAAGAGAATCTAAACAAAAGATTTATGTTACTTGCTCAAATCTGTAAAATGAGAGGATGGCAGAGCTAAATGTTAGCATTTAGCAGAGCCTGGCTCCTGTCCTTATTTGCAATTTACTGAATAATCCTGCCTCAGGTTTTAATGGGAATCCACAAACAAACATCTGGTTTAAGCATTACCATTTATGTATAGATTTATCTTTTCTTCAGGGTGACCGGGGACCAGCTGGCACGCCAGGAGTAGCCGGGACACCGGTATGTGTGTTCATTAATGAAAATTTAGTTTTCCTTTTGCTTGAGCTGATAAAAAACAGGTCAATCAAGGTGCTGAGCTTTAATCTCAGTCGCTGTTTGTGGAACACCAGTGCTTGGCTAATTCTTTATAGGCATGTATGAAAATTATGTGTTTTTCCTAAAGAGATTAGAGTTGTAATACCACTGAGGGCTCATATTATTATTAAAATGGTAGGTGGGAATGATGTGAATGCATGATAAAGCTGGAATTTGAAGCTGCATATGCTTACTTAAGAAAGCCTAGGAGATCCTTATTGCCTCAGTTTAATATAGTTAAAAACATTTTCTGTGCTCCTGAGCATGCACAAATTTCTGAGTATCTTTCTGCCACAAAGAAATATTAAGAGCATTAGTTATTGCAATCCACAAGGATCTGCATATCAAGTAGATCTAATATTTGCTTTAGGGGAATGTCTTGTCAGCTATTTACATATAGTATTCAGAGAAGTTTATGAAAGTCATTCAGAAACTGTTGTGGGTGAAAGTAAATGTAACTAATGATAAGTTGAAATTATAATTACTCATTTGTGTTCCTAAAGGAAATGAAGACTTTTCTTCAGATTGCATTCATAGTTTAATAAGAAAGTATATCCATATTTCAGGAGGCAGTATGGAGTTATTTATATGCAAATACATTTATTATTAAATTTGGGCAGCTACCAATCCATTCAGGAACTGGTTTTAAATTATAAATGTGCTTTGTGAGATAGTCTATGCACTCTTATTTCCATTAGCCACTGATTTAGCCTACTTACTGTGAGTTCCAAGAAAGAACATCAGCCTAAACAGCTTGATTTAGTTAAGTTCTTCTAAAACAATATAAAATGGAATATTTAAGGGGAAAAGAGGTATTTCTCTGAGTTTTGTAGTCCATGTAAGTTTCAAAGTTTGTTGCTCTGAAATATATATTTCATGCTGTGAATCAATAATGCAGTAGTGGATTAGGATGATCACAATTGCTCATTCTCTGTGTATTTTCCACTGGGTATATTACAAGACTTAGTCTTGTTGCCCTCTATCCTAGCTGGATATAAAAAATTGAATGAGTTTCCTTTATCGCTGATAGAGTTGTATTCTGCTAATTACATTTAATTCTAAGAAAATCCACTGGAATAAATTATTTGCTTTAACATTTTATGCTGAGCAGTTTTAATTAACAAATAGACATATGAACCACAATATTTTTTACTAGTTTAGGTAGAGTTTTTGAAATATATCCATGTATCTTACTGGAAGAGAATTTGTCCTCCTTGCCTTGCATTATTTCCTAGATTATGTAATGGATCCTTTTTTTCCATTTGGGAATATAAGATTCTCGTTTTAGCTTTGGGCTTTTTGCTGAGTGGGATTATCACAGAAGCTTCAATTGAAATTCTGCAAGAAGTGCCACCAGTGCCTATTCCCTCAACTATCCTCAGTTCTGTTGTTCCTGAAGTTGTCACTGGCACTGATGTGTTAGATCCCTCACTTGTACAAGTCAGCTGAGGATCAGGTCTAAGGATGTTTCTGGAAAATGTAGATTCAGAGTAATAGATTCTTGTCTTGCTGAACCAGGTAAGTTATTAAAAACAAAGCATCATTTAAAATCACCATCTAAATGATGTGATGAGAAAGGATTGTGAATTCTGGCAGGCTGAACATAAACTGACAATAAAAGTGGCCAAGAAAGAGCTTGAAGAAAATTTGCAAAAGTCAGTAATGCACTTTAAAAAAATCAAGACTAGGAAGCACCTGAAGGAAAAAAATCTTGATATCATATATACAGTGATAAACTTTGATCTGATACGACTTCTCAAGAAAGAAATCAAGGTGTTTCAAAAGAAAATTTCATGAAAACACTATCTCAGTGTTGAGGAAGGGTAAAGACCAAGTTATTTTGTACACAAGAGCCAGATTAACGTGGCGCAAATATTAAAATATCTGGTAAAATATTTCTGTTCCCTCTCTTAAAGCATGTAATGAGCAGTAATGTGAATATTTCACTCAAATATATATCCTCTTATTTTTGACCCAAGAAAAATTATGGTTTGCTTCCTAGTAATTTGAATTTTTAATGTTCTCTTTTTGCAGGGAAAGCCGGGATCTCCTGGGTCCCCAGGGATGCCAGGGGAACCTGTAAGTATATATTTGAGCTCTGAATTCTTATGATAATACACAAATATTTCAAACACTGAGTGCAAGATTTACATGCAAGTTTATAGGTGTGTTTTCTTCTTTCTTAGGGTGAAAGGGGCCCTATAGGAGATATCGGCTTCCCCGGGCCAGAAGGGCCACAAGGAAAACCAGTAAGCAATTTTATATTGAATATATGTGCTCATTACAAAAGAATGCATCTTAGTTTATTAGAAGTTACAGAAGAAATGAGATTACACCCTCCTTTGTGTTAGGCTAGAAAACATCTGAAGAACACTTAGAGATACATTGCTGAATATTAACCATCCAGTCAAGAATTTCTGGTGGTGTGATGTTTCACTGTTTAATGTTACTTTAGAAGTTGGCTTTAACGGTCTTACGTGAGGGTCCTTTGGGTCCTGGTGACTTAAAGGATCCTCTTGTATTTTTTCAGAAGGTGAAATTAACCCAGATGCTCAACACAGTCTATGACGGGCAGATGAAGGATAGGGTGACAAATTAAGTTCATAGTTTCAGTTCAAATAGTAAAGTGTGTGCTTCATTACTCTGAATAAACTTGGTAGCTCTTAAGTATACAGGTGATGCGGCACTGCAGCTGAAGCATTTCCTGTTCACTTAGGATATGTCTATCTGACCTCTTTATTTAATAAAAGGTGGCAGCTGTTTAGCCATCACTGCCTGAGCTGGTTTAAAACCATCTAGTTTATATTCTAGAAGTGGTTTGGCTAGGATAGTGCAGAACTCATCATCTTCTCACAAAACTTGGTGTTTGGGGGACAAGCAATAGCAGACCACTTCAGTTTGTCAGCATATCTCCATATTATGCTTCTGTCTTGAAAGAAGAGACAACTTCTGTAATTTCAGCAGCAAATTGGCCCTAGGTGCCTAACCTCTGCAATACCCAAGTTTGCAGTATGAGAGGGAAGGAAATATTCCTGATGTCTTTGCTCATGCCAGTCCTTCTTTCTCACTCAGTTGAACAACAATGAATTTGCTGCGTATGCAAATCTATGTATATCCTAGTAAATTAAACAGTGCCAGAGCATATCTCTTGCAGTTTTCTGGCATTTTGCTATTGTTAACATACTCTCTGGCATTATTTTGGTCCATGCCAACTAGGACTCTCAGATAATGCCAGTTTAGGGGACAAGGTGGGCCTGGGACTGTTTCCAGAAGAAAATGAGAATACCCCCTTTTTTGAGAAGGAAGGTCCTTTCCAACCCAATCCTAACTATTCTACAATACTATGATTCTATATTTAGCCCAGGAGACTGAAGCTGTAGTGTGCTACAGCTCTAAGGACCGAAGAATGGATCTGGCCTTTTACTCTTAAGTCGTAATTTGTAACAGAAGAGTAATAGGGCATAAAGGCTAACATCTACAATGAGAAAAATCTCTTCTATGGTTGCATAATGACTAGCTGGGACTGGAAAAGTGTGTGTACAGGACCATATTCCACATTTGCATAATTTCCATTTATCTTGTTTAAAGTTCTGTGTTCATTGAAGCTGGTGCACATCTTGATGCTGAAGACTTTTAATCTTTTTATCTGCTCTCAGCTCCAATTCAATATGCTTGCACTTCAGTATCATGCTGAGCTCTCTTATTTCACATCTCAAAACTATTTCTATATTGCAAGTACACAAACTGCTGCCTCTGTAGCCTCAAAATGTGTACTGGTACCATCACTAAACACAGCTTTACCCTTTGTATTTTTTAAATTCATATACATAAGCATATTGATTAAAAATTGTTTGTTTCTTTTTAATAGGGAATCAATGGAAAAGATGGATTGCCAGGTCCTCCGGTAGGAAAACACTGTTTTGCATCGTAGTGTATTTATTCTTGATGGATACCATAGCTGTTAATCACAGAAGTTGCTTTCAGTCCTGCTAACAAATGAACATACTAAAAACCCTTTAACCGATACTTTTATCTTTTATCAAAAACAATTTTCCAGGGTGCTGTAGGGAGACCAGGAGACAGAGGACCCAAAGGAGAACGTGTAAGTCCCTTGTTTCAGTATTTTTTTGTCTTTTTGTTGAGCATCTGAGCACCTCGTCAGGCAAAACCAATAAGTTAATTCTTTGTGAACTTCAAGCAGTCTTTTAGACCACTAAGAAGTTTAGTCTAGACATGACTTTAAGGAATTAAAGTTGAGTTGGCTTCTGCATTTAGAGGAAAAACGCATTTCATAGACTTTCTAAAACAGTTGGCCTGGACAGTGTAAATAGATCAATAGGCTGAAAAGTGGAAAGTAGCTAACCCTGTTGTGATGCCATCAGACTTTGCAAGAGCTATAAAGGTTGCCCCGTCATCATCCCTGGGATCTTTGTATGTCACAAACACAAATTACATTTTATATAAAAGAACCTTGTTGCACTTGGGCAGCAGGAATGCCAGTGCAATACCTTACTGCTTCCCAGAATGCTTAGACTGTTCTGCTCATGGTAAGAAGGTCATGGTGGACAGGAATCATTATAGATGAGAGATGATCTTTATTTTGCTACAGCAAAGAAAATCCCAGTGCATACACTGCTCCTGTTACAATGTTACTGAAGTCCTCATATCCTAATCCAATTGATACTGCATTTATTTGATGAATCAGAAAAACACCTCCCTGTGTGATCTAGAAAAGGAAATGTTACTTTATGACACCGAGGACATATGAGGTTTTAACCATTATTACCACTGTCCCATATGACAACTGACCCTTTCCAATGTTCTGTTTCTGCCTTGAAGGACACTAATTAAATGTAAGATCCTTCTTTTGTGCCACCTACTGTGTACTGAATTACACTGCTCAACCTTGACCTTCTCAGTGTCAACCTGTCTGAATGCCCTGCAAATAGAAATGTACACATACAACCAAAAGAGGAGGCTGAACTTCTGAGTGTGTGACCTTAAAACATACTGACAGAGAGAATGATGTTGGAGAAATCTGTGAGAGACAGAGACACACCTTAGCTTGCTTCATCAGAGTGAAACTTGAGAGGGTAAGAGAAGAGGATGTATTTATTCCAGTGTCATTGGTGATACATACACACATGTACCTGCAGCGTAGATGTAAATGCGGATATGCGCTTCTTCTCAGAGAGGTCACAGATACCTGAATCTACTCTCATTTCTGGGATCACTGGCAAAACATGTCATGAGCTAGCTCTCTCTGTACAGAGAAAAATATATACATATGCACACATGTATACATAAAATAAATATATAGATACATGATTAAAAATTAATCAATTTCCATAAGTATTTTTGTCTCACATGATAATCAAAATCTCTCACAATCTTTTATAACATGAAAGCTATATAAATGCCTAATGCAATGCCTCAGTACAGTTTTCAGACAGCTGCCAATTGTTCCTTACAATTCTTCAATTTCCCTACAATTCTTCGATTTCCTACAATTCCCTACAATTCCCTATAATTCCTACAATTCCCTACAATTCTTCAATTTCCCTACAATTCTTACAACCTAGGAAAAAAATAGGTTTGTGGAAAACAAGGGGAGATCTGCCAAAGAATTAACAGTGAAATACACAGCAGAAGTTTGTGTCTCAGATAAGAGATCAGTGGGGGAGTTGGAGTTGATTTTTAATTTTCCCCCTCTGGATCAGGTATTACAGGCCTGCATCTGTGAGAGAGATTGCAATGATTACATAAAATAACAGAAAGTCAGTATTCTCTTGCAGCCATTATTATTTCTGCTGTATAGCATACTCCTTCAGTTTGAGATCGGCTGTTGCAATTACAGAAAAGAGAAGCATCAAAATTGGAACGACAGAATAAAGCTCATGAGATTTTCATGCCTAATATAAGTATATCCTTCTAGAATCATTTGAAGAAAGAAGCCGTTGCCTTGGCTGAAGTAATCTTACACATCCTTTGAGTGACTAAACACTGCTGTTATTACTACTTTATAAACTGAATGATAAACCAGTTGAAAACACGTAGCTTATATGAATCAGAAATATGTCTTTCAAGTCACTTCAGCAACAGATTAAAGTACTTGTGGCTGGCTCCTTTACTGCTATTATCTGCATACCATGATGAGCTAGAGCATGTAGAAACCTAGGGAAAGCAATAGTTTATTCTGCACAGAATTTAGTACACAGTTAAATGCAAGTGATGGGAGAGCACTAAGAAGGATGAGGATTGAATAAATTAGCACCGTAGGCAGAGCTGGCAAAGCACAATGTGCTACCCTGTTTTTTGTACTATTCATACTGAAGGAGTGTTTAAAGAGGAACCAGAGGAAGACATGACCTAGTTTAATGAATTTTTATTAGGAGCTTCTTACAAACACAAAGAAAACACTGGAGGCAGTTAAAAAAGCACTTGTTTGAAAAGTGGCTGTAGTACTTGATCTGCCTCCTACACACTGGGGGACTGTAAAATGGAACTCATTTAGAAGAAAACTAATTCTAGGATCAGCTTCACATTGCCATAGCACTGTGGACTTACAGAAACCTACATCTTTATTTCTAGGAGAACTGCTATCCATGCCTGCTCTGCAGAGTTGTAAATGTGGGAAATTTTATGTGTATAGTTATGCCTTAATATGCTTTTAATGAAGGCTTCTTAAAGTACAGTAATCTTCAGACAGATTTATTTATACATGTGGATGCATGCATGTGTGTGTTTGTGGTCTAAACTAAACATTAGATTAAATACTGTACCTCTTTCCAATTTTACAGAAACATAGGGTGAAACAGAAGTTTTTCTTCAATTTTATAATGTTTCAGGTTGCTGTGAGTGAAGTAGGAGGTAGAAACTGGTTGCAAAAACTTTGTTTAAGGCCAGGAAAGAGCCTCTTCTCTGCAGACTACAAAAGTACTGCTTAGTCGGAATCTTTCTTGTGCCCTGAATTTGTCAAGGTGTAGCAATACATGTGCTGATACCATAGCTGTATGCAGGACAGAACACTTTTTCCTATAAATCTTAAAGCTTATAGAAACCTGAAAAGATATGCCTCTTCCAACAGAACATTACTCTTCCAGTACCCCAAATGCACACACATTACCTTTCCTGCTCCCACCAACTGGTGAAAATTTGGAAGTTCTTTGACAGGGGTTTCAGTTGTCTTAGGTATCGCATCATATCTTGTCTGTCTTCTACCAAATAGCTAAATTAGCTGTGTGTTTGTTGGGAATAATTCATATGCTGCATATTTAGAGTTTTGCCTGAGGTATTAATGCCCAGAAAATAAAACTGGAAATCAGGTGTCAGCAGTAATGGCAGGATAGGTCTTTTAAGAGACACACGATAAATGTAATCACATAGAGATTATTTCTGTGTCACACTGACATCCTTGAATAGGATCATGTTAGCAGTTTGACAGGTTGTATTGGGTTTACATGGCAAGGCTTTGGAAATAAGGAGGCTACAGGGGTGGTTTCTGCGAGAAGACACAATGAGCTGCCCCCAGTATGTCAGACAGAGCCAGTTCCAGATGGCTCCAAAACCGACCCATTGCTGGCCAAAGCTGAGGCCAGGAGTAACGCTGGTACTGCCTGTGTGATTGAAAGGGTAAAAAGTGCTGCACAACAACTGGGAGAGAGCAGTGAGAAAATGAGAGAAACAACTCTGCAGTCACCAAAGTCAGTGAAGAAGGAAGAGATGGGTACTCCAGGGGCTGGAGCAGAGTCCCTGCAGGCTGGAGAAGATCCTGATGAAGACAGGTTGTCCCTCTGCAGTCCATGTAGGTCCGTGTTGAATCAGATATCCATCCTGCAGCTCATGGAGAAACCTATGCTAGAGCAGGTGGATGTGCCCTGAAGGAGGTTGCAGCCAAGGGAGAACCCACACTGGAGCAGGTTCCTGGCAGGACCTGCAGCCCATGGAGTAGAGCCCACACAGGAGCAGGTTTTCAGGCAGAAACTGTGTCCTGTGGGAGATCCACACTGGGGCAGTCTGTTCCTGAAGAACTGCCCCCGATTGGAAGGTCTCATGCTGGAGTGATTCATGAAGGACTATCACCCATGGGAAAGACCCCACACTGGAGTAGGAGAAAAATGTAAGAAAGAAGGAACAGCCAAGATGAAGTGTTAAGGACTGACTGCAACCCACATTCCTCATCCCACTGCATCACTGAGCTAGAGGAGGTATAAGAGTGAAGAGTGAAGTTGAGCTTCAGAAGAAAGGGGGTGGGTTGAGAGGAAGGTCTCACTATCCTGTTCTGTTATTAATTTTCAACAAATTAAATTACTCTTCCCCAAGTTCAGTTTTTGTTAACCCTGTCAGTAACTGGTGAGTGATCTCCCTGTCCTGATCTTGACTTACAAGCTTTTAATCTCATTTTCTTCCTGTCTTGTTGAGGAGGGGGTAGTGAGAGAGCAGCTGGGTGGGTATGTGGCAGGCAGCCAACATCAGCCCACCATGGAGGTTAAAAGTGTAAGTGTGAGATGATGAGGTCTCAGATTTTGACACTTGTGGCTTTTTTTTCTTGCAGTAGACTTTTAGAGTTCAGAGCCTCTGCACTGTTACTGAGGGCAATTCAAACTCCAATTGGGAATGTGTTATGGTTTCAGTTAATGCAGTAAAACCTCACAAGTTATAATTGATTTTGTAGTGAAGCTTAGTTATAGTCAATAATAAGCTCCAACTCACTGTAAATCATACAGTTTGGAGGACAGATAGGTGATAAAAATGTTATACAACCTCCTACTTGCATCCTTACCTTTCTTTCTTTCTTTTTCAATCTTTACATGTCATGTAAATATGACTTAAGAAGCTGTAGATTAAGAATGCAATTAATTCCATTCATTCACCCTTCATAAATGTAGATTCTGGATTTAGCTATTAATGATGTAGTCAGTTCTTGATGCTGTTTGCTGCTCATGGGGAGCTTAACTTTTACTTTAACTTTAGTTTAAGTGAAGCTTCAAGGGCAGTCAGTGACCCTTAAGAACTGCCAACAGTTCATTAATGATCTGAATGTGTGACTTGTGGCATTGGGCACCACAGCTGTACTTCAGTGACCTAATAGCTAACACAATGACTATAAAAGATTTAATTTCTCACAAATAAAACAAATGCCATCTCACCCATGATGGAAGTTGTTGGTGCACAGAACACTGACATCTAATTCATTTTGTTTGCAAGGAATTTACTCGTTATAGATAGATTTGTGTATTTGTTGTTTCTTTGATTAACTGAAATTTCATCTGCATGCAGAAATAAAATATCATGCTTAGAGGGAAAGTTACAGAAGAATCTTGGTGCCTTGTGCCTGGGGAAATTTGAGCACCTAAATTCTACCTGTACCATATTTGATGTTTCTAAATCCTTGTGGAAGGGCTATAAACTGTCTGCACCAAAGTCCTGTCCTTGAAAAGTAGGTTACAGAGTCATGCTAATTTTTTTGTCACTGACTTCAACACTGAAAGTGTAACAAAACAAAATATTACTTGCTGTGCTTTCAGAAACAAGCGTTATCCTGTAAAATAAGTTTCCTTGCATTATTCATAAAAACTATTTCTAAACAGGGAAGGATTTTTGTCTTGGGTGGCTTTTCTCAGTTTTTTCCACTGTGTGCAATGATTTTTTTTCTGTTTTTATTTTACACAGGGAGATCAGGGTATTCCAGGAGACAGAGGTCCACAGGGTGAACGAGGGAAACCTGGCCCATCAGGAGAAAAGGGGGATGTAGGTCCTGTTGGGCCCCCAGGAGACAGAGGCTATCCAGGGTCACCAGGCCATCAAGGTCCCCCAGGTTCTCCAGGACCCCCAGGGTTTCCAGTAAGTAAATACAAGTTTTCTTTGATTGTCAGTGAATTCAGATGATGTGAAGGTAGCATGTGCTGAGCAGTGGAAATTCAAAGAAGAAATACAACAGTATTAGAAAAACTAAGGCATATCTTTAAACTTTATTTATTTATTTAGATCCTGAAAAATTAATATAGTTACTCAATACCATTAATTTTCAAGTTTTTCACAAGCTTAAGAGCTCAAGTTTAAGTCTTTGCAACTGAGAGGGAAAATGAGGCAAACAAAAATGATTCTTAACAAAAGAAAAAACATTTAAAAAGTCAGCAAAATGCTGCATGTCAGTTGTAGATATCTTGGTTTGTCCCCATGTGTGCACAGACACATATCCATGTTACGAGTTATTTTTACCCTCAGTCAGACAGGACTAAAAACTCTAAAAAACTTTTCCAGGGAAGTTATTGGTCCTGTGATGCAGTTCTAGTTAGTCAGCTGTGCCTCAAAGCAGCTAGTCCTTAGAGGGGGTGAGAAGCTGGCAAATGCTATGGCAAAGGCAAGTATAGCATAGTGGTGCCACTGAACATCATTGCTGTCTAATAAAAATTAATTTTGCTACACATAACGTGCTGATAATCATGACAGCTTGGGAGTGCCTCTTCCACTATGTGGTATTAGTAGTCTTTATAGAATTATAATGTAATCACAATACAGTGACCTTAGCAGTTAAGTAAATAACACAAACACATTCAAATATTTAACTTTTGGTAAAAGCTTTACGTTTTAAATGATACTTTCTGCCTTTTTTTTTTAATTATTATTCTTGTATCATTATAAAGTGCCCTCTGTGTATTTCTTCTGATACATATCCCCTTTTCCTCATCAGGTTGATGCAGTTTCACTCGAAGAAATAAAAAATTACATCAAACAAGAAGTTCTTAAGGTTTTTGAAGGTAAGAAAAGGAAGTATTATACAACTAAACATAAATCTTAAATTGCCTTCTAAATGTTTTACATCCCTACAGCCTTTATGTGCATTTCTTTACGTGTCAGGTAACTTACATTGCATTTGGCAGCTGCTTTGTTGCTGTAGCTATGTTTAATTGTTGTTTAAGTCTACTCAATATAACTCTATTCAAACAGTTATAAATTACAATATCTGTTAACAAAGTACTTAATTCTGTAGAAGATTAGCATTAACAGGTAGTTTGTTCTAAATCATAATACCAAACGTATGTATGTATCATTTTAGGTACGTGTATGTATCATATGCTATTGCAGATACATAGGTATCTACAATGTATCGTTAAGACACTGAAGATTTATTAAAGAGGAGACAATAGAAAGATCTAATTATTTTGGCCACTTAATGGATGATTCTCCAAATGAGAAAAAGGCTTGACAGCTTTCAGTCATGCAAGTCTAAACTGCTGTGCATTTTCAGCAGATGTGCTCCAAAGCTCCCTTGCGGACCACCATCTTCTGGCACAATTTTAGGCAAGTACCAGATTCAGTCATGGCCTTTGTACCACATAATCCTTCTGAGGTGTCTCCTTACTCTGAAAAGGAGGTATATTTCTTCCCCAGTGTTTTCTTAGTCAGGGTTGAAAAGCTATGACTCAGGTAGGTGTCTGAAACAAGCTTCTGCTCCAACATCTCTTAACAGTAGTTTCTCTTCCATTGCAAAATGCATTTCTTATGTCTGCAATATGCTTAGATATTTATTCATTATTATTTGTGGATACAAAACCTTTTCTCTTTCAGGGATAAAGTAAATCACATAAAGCTTGAGACTTTTTAAACTGTTCAGGCAGTTTTTCACTTTAGAGCAAGGCTATCATTTTGTGTGTTTTCACCCTTCTCCAAACTGCTACCCCTTAGGAGTTCAACCTACTATGTATTGCAAAGCATTTTCTTGGCTGAAGTTACCTCTTCTTCCCATTCAGATGGAACAGTAACAAGTAGTTAGTCTATTCATAAAAATAAAATATTAAACAGTGTCCTGCCTAAAGGGAATGTTGGCTTTTGTCTTTTAAGCTGTTCCATTTTCTACATCTCATTAGTGATCCCACAGATCTTCTGCCTTTGTTTCACTTTGCCTATTTTCTAACAACTGGCTGAGAACGTTGGGGCTGTTCAGCCTGGAGAAGAGAAGGCTGCATGGAGACCTCACAGCAACCTTCCAGTATCTGAAGGGGGCATATAGGGATGCTGGGGAGGGACTCTTCATTAGGGACTGTAGTGATAGGACAAAGGGTAATGGGTTAAAACTTAAACAGGGGAAGTTTAGATTGGATATAAGGAGGAAATTCTTTCCTGTTAGGGTGGTGAGGCACTGGAATAGGTTGCCCAAGGAGGTTGTGAATGCTCCATCCCTGGCAGTGTTCAAGGCCAGGTTGGATGAGGCCTTCGGTGATGTGTTTTAGAGCGAGGTGTCCCTGCCCATGGCAGGGGGGTTGGAAGTTGATGATCTTAAGGTCCTTTCCAACCCTAACTGTTCTATGATTCTATGATTCTATATACCAAGAACATGGAATTTGCAGTATTAAACTCTAATTTGCAATTTACCATGAGTTACAAACATACAAGGTAGCACTTCATAGGGGTGTTAAATACTAATTATTCTGTGTTCATGTATTTTAAGTACTTCCATGAGTCAGAAGTTATTTGAAATATTGGAATACATTAGTAAAAGAGAATGGTAATAGATACTTTATTTCAAAGGGTGAAGACTCAAACATGAGTCTAGAGGTGGAACTGAAGGCCTCTACTTATAGGAACACTTAATACCTTGACATTTAGAAGGATTAAACACTTTACTTGGCATTTTGGGGTTCATTTATTTTCCCACACTTTGCAAGCAGATTTCTTAACCCCTTTTTTTTGTGTCCTTTGTTAATAAAGAAAGGATGGCTCAGTTTGTATCCCAGCTGAAGCTGCCTGCTGCAATGCTTGCCTCCCAAGCGCACGGAAAACCAGGGCCCCCAGGAAAAGATGGGTTACCGGGACCACCAGGAAAGGATGGTTTGCCAGGGCCACCAGGAGAACGTGGAATTCAAGGTAGGAATTAAAAAAACAAATGTTCCTATGAAGTGTATATTGATACCTTTATACACTTGCTGATGATTATTAAATAAGGCAGGATTACCCATCTAGATTCCTAACGATTAACTTTTAAAACTGTACTTATGTTTTTCCAGACTAGATCTAAATATTAACCCATAGTAAATGTGTGGATTTTACTGATTAAAAACTCCTAATCAGTGCATTTTATTCTAATAAGTGATGCACTTAATTACTGACAGATAGCTAAAACTGACAGGTATCTAGACTAATTGTAACAGTTTTGAGGTGTTTTTTTTTTTCTCCAAAAAACTTTAACAAGGAATAAAAACTGCCAGCACTCTAACATAACTATTTAGGTCTTGTTCCATATTGAGAGACCATCTTATTTAAGAAACAAAATTTGATCTCCAAGTCAGAGTGATCTCAGCAATGATGCTGAGACAACACGGGGGAGGAAGAACTGAAGGCAAATATTCTTTAAGAAACAGTGAAAAAAAAATATTAGTACATTAATTCTTCTTACAGTGAAATAACCTAGTCTCATAAATCAATTTCAGAGTAATGAGCTTTTCTCTGTACCCCAAATGGTAAGTTGTACATTGCATTTGGACAGTGTAGGACTCTTGTTTTACTGAACTGCCTTGTAGTGCAAAATTCACTTCAAGGAATCCAGGCTTATTGTACCTGTGACCTACTGTAAAGTCAGCCTCTCAGAGATTAAAAGGAAGAGGAGAACAGAATAAGAGGAAAAAAGGATTTATCGATAAATAATATTTTGTGGGTGGGTAATATTTAATTTGCAGTTTATCTGTAGGCAGTTCTTTATTATCTTTTGTTAGTTTGGTCTGCTCTGGCGTCAGGGCAAGGCAGACTGGAATGAAGAACATGAGAGTAAAGCTGAAGATGTGTGGATCCTAAAGCTATAAGAAGAATAAAGAATTACTAACACTGATATACGCAAACCCCTGAGAGAAGCTTGAAAAATGTGATGAGCTCAGAATGAGAAGAACAAGAATAAAGGATCAAGGAAAACAATAAAAGGCTTAGGATCTTGCAACACTGACTTCTTCATTACCTAAATATTCAGATTACTGTAAATGGTTAACTTCAATGTCAGTGCCAGATTATTCAATGATGATGTATGTGGTGGATAGTCCAAGATGTTTCTGGAAAGTGGAACTTTGTACTAGGCTTCATTTCCAGCTAGTGAGCATCAAGAGTAAAGGTGATAGCTATGCTTAAAAGAAAAAAAAAAATAAAGCTGCTTTGTCATGCCTTATGCTTAAGTAAAAGTAGTGCCCATGTATGCAGGATTTCCATTTATTTTACTGATATGCTCCATGCTCTTTTTTGATTAGTGAAAGGTAACCTAAGTGAGAAGCATTTACTTCTCTGATGCATCAAAAGATATCTGAAATTATACTTCCAAGGAAAGAAAACCAAAAATTTGTCTTGCCTTCTTTTTACACTCCAAGTAAGAGATAATCCTGTGAAAGAAGCACACTTACAAACGTCCTTCATGCCTTTCACAGTTGTGCCTGTTACTGCTTTGTACCAACAGTAAAAGCAATTCAAGTCTCTGAGCAGGTCAGAAAGTATCCTTCTATATTGCAGCTTATATTCAGCCATACACAAAGACGTAGCAGACAAGACAGCTTGGAGAACCATGTTACGTGCATGTGTAGCTGAGATCATCAAGGTAGCATGCTGTGTGCACATATGTCCAAGTCATAATACAGATTTAGCATTGGCTGACAGATATTCCTTAGTATATCTCACTTTGGTATAACCCAGATTGCCAACTCCAGAGTTTTGGTGATTGCAGTAATACACTTCTGGACTGGCAGTGAAGCAATTGGTTGTCCCATATAGCCACTGAAAAGAAGTAGATGCTTTTGGAGAGCAATTAACAGGACCTCTGTGAACGCCTCCAGTGCCTGTTTGTGATGCTGCACGCTGAGCAGAGAGACTGCTAGAGCCAGCCAGTGAGAAAGGCAGGTGTCACTGTGCACCTGAAGAGGTGCTTAACTTCAGCTTTGCAGGAGTTCCTCCATACACCTTCAGTTTGGTGCCAGTTCCCCCAGGAACTGATCTGGTATCACCTGGCTGGATTCCACAAAAGCCTACTTCTGCATAGCAAAACAATAGGTAGGGGTCAAGCCCAGATGCAGAAAACATAAGTACTAACTTTTGGAAGTGTAGCTGTTGCCTTCAGAAATTCTATTTAAGGAATTGCTAGGCTCTTGGGCATAAAGTCATTAATTTCTAATAAAGCTCAGGACTGTTACCTGATGGCCTTCAGCAAGGCGTGTTCTCAGGTACTTCCCAGTGGTTCAGGTGCAAATAATTTTTATTTCATAGGATGGTCTCAATAAATGTATAGCATGCAATAAAAAACCAACAAAGAACTACAACTTGAATTCTGAAACATACAGTTGGTATTTAAGCATACTTTATATAATAGTGATTGGAAGATTTATGTATATATTTCTTCATTTTTAATAAAATAGCCTATGACATGTACATCAGCAAGCTGATACTGTGAAGCCGTGTCACCAGTGAAATGTACATCATCTGTTTAATCGAGAGCAGAGGAACTTGTTTACTCTGTATCAGTTTTAAAGGATACTACTGTTTCATAGAGAAACAGGAAGTTTATTTCAACACTTTGTAGGCAAGCTATAGCAATGTCATCCTTTTGCAAGTCGTCAGCTTGTCATGTTTTAGAGGGTCTAGATCTATTAACTTCATTGACTTGAATTTTTAAAACTATAATAGTAAGTGAATTTTGTAATCCAGAGATCTTTTATGTTAATATGACTGTGTTTTTTCTTAATAGAGAAAGTAAGATTTCATCTAGTTAAACTTCACTGTTTCTGTCAAATAAAGGAAACTAGTGTTTTGTAGGTCTTCATAACTCATGGTAGCCTGAAGGAATCAGCTCAGGAAAAAAAAAAAATATGTCAGGCGATGAATACTGAAAGTACTTTATTTTCATTACTAATCTGTTGTAAAACTTAGTCTCTTATTTTAGTCTCATTAATTTTGTATGGTGGGAGCATGTGGAGTGGCGTATGATGTTAGCTTGGCTGATGTCAGGAACCCACTGTAGTAGATGTTGCTCAGACACAATCAGTCTTCTAAAATAGCTGCACTGGTTTCAAGCATCACCTCCTGTAAAATATTCTTTGCTGAGGAGGGTGAAGTTAACCTGTTTCACTTTGATTTGAAACCCAGCTACCACCTCTTAGCTGGGAGAGCTATAATACACAGAATGAATGCAGAATATGGAGGCTGGATGAGAGGGCTTGCTTTTAGCACACTTCCTGTTCCTTTTTATTTGTTTGTTTTTATGAATGCAGAGTATTTGCACAGTAAAACACAGCAGATAAACCTCTGTCTCATCATACCTTGTCATGATAAGGTGTTTGCCTCATTTGTATTAAAGAACCTCAGATTTCTCTATATACTTGGCATGCTAGTTTCAGGTGCTTCATTATTGATACAGTGAATGGAAGAGGGTCTCCATGGTATCAGTGGAATACTTTTTGGAGCAGTATAATTGAGAGAACTTTTAACCTTCAAGTTCATAGACATTAACTTCTGTACTGTGTTCAGCTCTGGGGCCCCAACCATAAGAAGGTTGTGGACCTGTTGGAGTGAGTCCAGAGGACTCCACAATGATTATCAGAGGGCTGGAGCACCTCTCCTATGGAGACAGTCTGAGAGAAGTTGTGATTGTTCAGCCTGGAGAAGACTTCAGGGAGACCTTAGAGCAGCTTCCAGTGCTTATAAGAGGGCCTTACTAATAATCTAGATAAGGACATTTTACAAGGGCATGTTGTGACCGGACAAGGAATGGCTTTAAACTGGAAGAGAGGAGACTTAGATTAGACATTAGGACAAAGTTCTTTACTGTGAGGGTGGTGAGACATTGACACAGGTTGCCCAGAGAAACTGTGGCTTCCCCATCCCTGGAAGTGATGGGCTGGCTGGAACTTTGAGCAACCTGGTCTAGTGGAAGGTATCCCTTCCCATGGCAGAGGTTTTGGAACTAAATGATCTTTAAGGTCCCTTCCAACCCAAACCTTTCTATGGTTTCCACGTAGAGCTGAGGATGTTGTGGTCGTGATGTTTCTGAGTGTGATGTTTATAGAAAGCACCAAACTGAGATCTGTATTTTAGCTGTTACCATTCAGCTCTGAGCAAAATAAAGCTTTTACATTTAAACACATACTTGCTACATATTGCTGCTGTTTACTGTACTACCCACACTGGGTACATATTTACATACCAAAAATTTTGGGTTGCAGAAATCACAACAAAGCTTCTGGAACCCAAGTAAAAGACTTTGCTAAAACAGCTACCTTTTGGATTAAACAGGCACCTCTTACTAGAACTGTAATTCTACCTAAAAATAAACAATATCTTATATGTGCCTTTACATTAAAAACAATTAAAATCTAAATCTGATTTCTATGTACAGTAATATTTTCCATTGACTGTGTATGAGTTTGTCACTTAGAGCCCAGAGAGAAGGTATTATCCTCCAGAAGTATAATCATGGCTCTATTTTTGAGCAAAAGATACCTCATTAAAAATCAAGTATTTTTCCGGCCAGATTTACACATTACATTGTTCAGATTGTTTACATATAAGCTTGTTTACTAGCTTACACCTTGTTAAATAAAACATTATATTTAGTTTAAGATATCTAGGACTATTTGTATCAAACTTGTCATGAGAACTATAAACTACGCCTTTGCATGTGTATTCAGATACAGCCAGTAATTGTTTAGACTACCCTGGATCATGTATTTTTATTGTCAGGCTGCCCTTTTCCAATTGTAGTGGGTTTTTTCTGTATTGTCTTGAATTCCAGTGCTGTTTACAAAATCTTTCAGTCTTTTCTCAGCCTCTCTTCAATGATGATGTCTCAGATACCTACAGTAATGATTATCATGGAGATTGTAAATGTGATATATCTTGAATGTGATTTCTCTCTTTTCCCCATAACTAAAGAAAAGCAAAACAAATGATTAGTGGCTGCACTACTTTTAAAAATTGCAATTAACCGGGTTTGTAGTGGGAAATGTACTGTAACTATGTAATGTAAATTAAGAAAAATATATATAATAAATAGTAAATGCAATAGATCTCTGGTTGTATGATTGGGCTTCTCAAACATTAGCAACTACTGCTTGCGTGCTACACAAGATTTTTAGAGCAAACCAACTTAATATAGTTATAAATACTACTGTGGTCATCAAAAAGCAATATCAAGATTCACAATTGAACACGTACACCTGCATATTCCCTTTTCTGAGTCTTTATAGCTTGTGTGCCCATATGCCTCGTACAATTCTGCTTAACACAACTCAGTGACCAGAATGCATGATTAATTGAATTTCATTTCTCTGTGAGGTTTTTGTTATGTGATGCATGCCATTCTGCATGTGTTTTCTAATGGTTTTGCTTCACTTTTAATTTCCTTGTTGGGGTCCTGAGAAAAGGGTAAGACAGATGATGCTCTGTTTTGAAACCTAGAATGATTATAATAGAAAATAAGACTTTCTACCGAAGTGTATAATGAGCTTGAGTTTAACAGAAAGCTTGCATATTCAGTGTACCATTCCAACTGCATTGTGGCTGTTGTAACAACCCTGAATTGGTACCCATGCTCTTATAATAGTTTCCTTCTGAATTGTCCTATAAAGTACCAGTGCTGCAACAAACAGCAGTACAAGACAACCTTTGCTGTCCATCTGCCACTGCCCATTAATCTTCAGAAGACATCAGGTGGATTGATACCACTATGCTGTCTGCTCAGCCGTAGCTCTTTTAATTCAAACTAAGTTACAGCTCTTCATGAAAGGAAGTTTATTGTATGGCATGCATGACACTGGAAATATACTGGTCTCTGATGCAGAAGAAGTTTAATTCCAAATGTCACCAGGAGTTGGCAAATTAACCTTCAACATATATCACCTTACAGGCCAACATCTGAGGTGCTGGGAGGAAAGAGGGTTTCCTTATAACCCCTTTTAAAGTAAGGGATTGTGGCAGGTGTCACCCTTGTTGCTTTAAAAATACCTTCATTCCCTGTCCTATGTAAATGGCATGGTCTAAACAGGAAAGGTACATTTCTAGATGTATTCTTAACATGAAATCTTAAGGAAAAGGTTATAGTGATTGCCACCAGTGTTTTGCTCTAAAGCAGCCAGAGTGTTTTCAACTAATAAAATGTTTTACAAACAGTTTACAGGGATTGGATATGAGTTGAAGCATCTAAGAAGAAGAAA